TCTAGAGAAATATTCATATAGCGGTGTGCCCAACAATGCTCACAACAGCACCACTTGCAATTTCGAGGCAGGGACAACTACTCCACTCATCATCTCTCAGCTCCCAGTGCTCTAGTGGCATCGCAGTGTATTCAGAGTGATCCAAGGGCCGAAGAAATGATTCAGAGAACGAAGCCTGAGTTCTTCACCAGGGACTCACATGATGGTAGAAGGTCAAAGCCATAAAGTCGTCCTGTCACCTTTACGCTATGTGCCACAGCCATAGTTCCCACCCACCCAAATAGTAACTTTCCAAAGTGTAATCTGGGCATAATGACACGTCTTTAATACCAGCATTTGGGGGCAGAGGCAAGCAGATCTCTCAAGTTTGAGGCCAGCATGCTCTATATAGCAAGTTTGAGAACCTGTCTCAAAAATAGAAAAAAAAATTATCCAAATGTTCATTTTGTCCCAAAAAGAATATTATGCCCTTGCTTTTTAACATTCAACCACCCCTGCCTCCTTCCCTGTCTATCTATCTCCCATACATTAAGCTGCTACCTACCTAAAGGTCTTGTCTGCCTAGAGCCACACCACACCCCACCCCACCCATGTATGTATGACTCCTGTGATCCAGTTCTCTGAGGGTCACCTCCACAGAGGCCTTCCCTGACCAAGAAAACCTGATCTTTACTTTCAGCAGATGGCCTAGCTCTACTTCCTACTCTCTTATTTGTGTCTGGCCTTCCACCAGACTATGTGTTTTGAGAAACTGCCTTTATCCATTGTGCAGGCACAGAAACCAAGCAAACTTGAGAGCAATCAAGAAACTTTTCAAGTATGAATGTATTCTATGTTGTACTCTGAATTCTTATAAAGCAATTAAAGAATAAAGTTTATTTGCAGTGTCATAGAAATGTTCCAAACTTAGGTAAATTTCATCATCACATGTATTTTTATATAACACACCCAAAAATAATAAAACCCTGAGGCTATCTGTGTGAAGTTTCCACGTTTAAGAAAAAGTATTTTAGACTATGACTATGATCTCTGAAAAACAATTCACTTGGGAAACAATGTATAAGCAGAAAGACTTCTGAGTGACAGGATAAAGAGGAAGGCCTATTTTTTTTAAACCATAATGTAAGTGTGCAATCCATGTGCACCGAGAAACACTTGAAGGCAAAGCACACACATGCATCTAAAAAGACAGGCTGTTAGGAGCCTCACCAGCTGGGGAGTGCTCAGTGGTTAAAAACACTTCTTCTCACAGAGGACCTGACATGGGTTCCTAGCACCCACATCCAGCAGCTCACAACTGCCTGTCACTCCAGCTCTAGGGGATCCTGAATTCTGGCAGCATGGGGCAGTGTACACACAAACACAGTCCCCCACACAGATACACACACACACATAAATAAAAATGAAAGCAAAAATTTTAAAAGTATAGAGTGCTATTTTATGCATTTCCCCCACAAGATATATAAACAAGTTCCTTTTCATGTTTGAGAACACATACGTTTAAACATTTATTACTTGCCAAGTAATATTAATGTGACATTTAAAAAATAATTTATGAATAAACTTAAAGCCCAGATCTGAGTGAAATATTAGCTAACTTTCTGTTGAAAAGTACACTGCCAGAAAAGAAAATGCATTTTCTAAAATATGAACAATGAGAAAGGATTTCAGAGACACGTGAGTGATGAGAAAAACTTTCAAAATATGCACCGATGTGAAGGAAGGTCAGTTCTCCTTCACTGATAAGCCCACAAGAAAACAGCAATAATCAATCTGAGACCACTTAACCAATTAGCCTCCCCTTTGCACCCAGTACAACCACTCAGCCTTTGGGGAGGGGGAGTGCTGAAACAGGAAGGTCATGAGCTCCAGGCCTGTCTAGCTAACAGTGAGACCCTTTCTCAAAAGTAATTAATTAGGCTAATCAATTAAATTCTGGGGGGGGGGGGCTAGGCCCAATGTTATTTCTATAGCATTCTCTGGTGTTCAGCAACCATTAGTTCAGGAAAGCTTATATTCCACGTATACAATCTGAGCAGTAAATGCTGGCTTGGCTTTTAGTAAAGAGAAAACTGAGTTATCGCACACAGACACACTTAAAAATCATTAGCTATTGTAGCATGAGTTCTAATGGGTCTTAGTAATAAAAACCCAGAGTCAGATAACGGGGTAAATGCTGAAAGATCAGAGATGTAAAGGAGCAGCCACAAGAGAGTCCTCTATCATCTACTGAATCCTCAGACCAAAGGGGGCAATCCTGTCCCTACAAATCCTCAGACTGAATGTAGTGATATTTTGTTTGTAATCTAACAATAAAGCTTGCCTGGAGATCAGAGTGCAGGGCTAAACCACTAGTTAGTCATAGAGCCCAGGCAGTGGTGGCACACACCTTTACTAATCCCAGGAGACAGAGATAGACATATCTCTGTGAGTTCAAGGCCACCCTGGGCTACACGAGATTGAATCTGTCTAAAAGAGAAACAGAGGTCACACAAAGGTGATCCCAGCAGTTGGGATCACACACCTTTAATCCCAGTACTAGGGAGGTGGAGACAGGAGTATGGCTGGGTGAAGAGAGGAATATAAGGTGGGAGGAGACAGGAGCTCATTGCATGCAGCCTGAGGTTTTGTAGAGACGCACTGAGTCTGAGGACTTGTAGAGACAGGATACCCCATTTGGTCTGAGGATTTCAAAGAGGTGGCTGGCTGTTCTGCTTGTCTTTCAGCTTTTACCCCATAATATCTGATTCCTATTTTTTATTACTAAGACTCATGCTACAAACTATCAAAAGTTATGTGAGGCTGGAGGCCACAGCACTAGCCCTGCCACCACAGACATGGAGACTCTGTACCAAATCCACTTCTTAGTGCTCCAATGCCCCAACTTGAAGCTAAAGAAGCCACGTTGGGTGCACATGCCACTGGCCATGATAGTGTATGCCCTAGTAGTGTCTTTATTGCACATCACTAGAGGAATTATCTATGATATTGTTACTGAATCTCCAAGTGCTGGCTCAGTGTCTGATAAACATGAGCACCAGACTCTATATTATGAAAGGACAATAGGTGGTTTGGGCCTCCTCAACCAGGACAGATCCAATGCACCAAATATTCCAAAATTTAAGTTTTTTCCTCTCTTTGTTGGCTTTGTCTGTGTCCTATCAAATTTCTTCACAACTACAATATTCACAGTAAAACTGCCAGGTTGCTGGGTGGGTGAGTGCTTTTAAGAAATCAGAGGATCCCGGATTTACCCCTATTAACAAAGTTTTAAAGGCTGAACCATATCTTTTACAGTGTGGAAAAGGATGAACAGCAGGGTAAGAGCAGCACCAAACAACAACCGAGCAGACACATTGATGCACAGACTGGAACTCCTTGGTATCAGAGCTCATTACAGCACTTGTCCTGATAACCAATTATCACAGCATCAACTACATTAAGCAGCATTTTCTTCCTAGTTTTTTTTTTATTATTATTTCTTAAAGGAAACATACTCTACTTCCAAAACTATGATATTGAATAAAGTGATTATGTTTTTTGGGGTTTTTTTGTTTGTTTGTTTGTTTGTTATTGTTTTACAACCCCCTTGTGATGGCTAATTTTGCTTGTCAGCATGACTACATCTGCAATCAACTAAAACCCAAGCTGCTGGGTATGCACATGAAGGATTTTTCCTGGTTGGATCCTTTGAGGTCAGAAGACCCACCCTAAATCTGGGCCACACCTTCTGTTGGCAGTCCATATAAATGACATGGAAGAAGCTTTTGTAGTTTGCCTGCTTGGTCTCATTCTCTGGCAAGTTCATCTATCCTGCTGCTCAGGCATTCCTTTGCTGGTATCAGAACTCACTTCTGTGGAATCCCAACATACCCTGAAGACCAACTGAGAATCCAGCCTTGTGGACTGAACAAATGCAGGGTTCTGGTCAGGAGACCGCCATTGTTGGCTTTCTATTGGCTCTGTGCCTCCAGAGCAGTGGTTCTCAACCTGTGGGTCGAAGCACCTCTGGGGGAGTCAAGGACCCTTTCGCAGGGGTGGCATATCAGATATCCCCCCACAACAGGTGTTTACATTACGGTTTACAACAGTAGTAGCAAAATTACAGTTACAAAGTAGCAATGAAAAGAAGTGTATGGTTGGGGTCAGCGCAACAGGAGGAACTGTATTAAAAGGTCATAGCATCAGAAGGTTGAGAGCCACTGCTCTGGAGAACCATGACTAGCACACCCCTAGTCATTTTTTGGACACGGTATTTCATATTTTGAAAATTAGGCAAATTGAGAAGTTCCTGAGGTCTGAGAAACTTGGACAGCTGGTAAACTCCTAAGCGGTGCTTTGCCTTTAAACAATGTATATGGTACTGTGCCACTGCAGACCTGAGCAATATGATGCATGAAAGGTGCATAAATAAAAGATCTTTATAATTAAAAATACGGAACTTTTACTGTTAATGTGCAGAAGACCCAAATTCAGTTGCCAGTGTGCAACTCACAACTGCGTGTTACTCCAGCTTGAGGGGGTCTTGATTTTTTTCAGGTCTACACAGACACCAACACACATATTCACATGTGTGAACATACATATACATAAATTTTAGAAATCTTTTTAAAAAGGTTATCTGCAAGGCCAGCAAGATGACTGGACTTCAGGTAAAAAGTACTTTCCATAAGCCTTTGGCAACTAGAATTCAGACTTGTTTTGGATTTATAATCCCAGCCCTGGCACTTCTACAGTGAGATGAGAGGCAGAGACAGAATTGGCTGCAAGTTCCAAAGGTGTGCACAGCACAGTAGTAGAAATAAGTTACCTCTCTCAAAACAAGTTGTAGGGAGAGGACTGACTCAAAAGTTGTCCTCTGATCTACATGTGTATACACACACACACACACACACACACACACACACACACACACACACACACGTTTTCTGTATTTACAGTTAGTAGAGGTAGTACAACTCACTACTTCTCAGATTATACAGAATAGTAACACAGTTCAAAATAGTCAAGATGAATTTAATGCCAGCAATAAAACCACAGTTTAACATTCCACAATTTTCTAAGCTAATACAGAACAAAGAGCTGAAGTATCATTACACTGATTGTAAGAGACAGTTTAATTTCTCTGACTCAGATTTCTTCCTCTTTAAGTCTTTAGGAACTAGAGACTCTTTCCATTAGAAACATAGTGACAGGGCTGAAGAGATGGCTCAGTGTTTAAGAACACTGGCTGCTCTTCCAGAGGACCTTCCAGTCCCAGAGGATCCAGTGCCCTCTTCTGGACTCCTTAGGCAATGATGCACATGGTGCACAGACATACATGCAGGCAAAATACCCATGCACATAACAAAAAAAAAAAAAAAAAAAAAAATTAAGGTTAAACATTTTTAAAATTACAAAGACAGACAGCTGGGCGTGGGTGGCATACACCTTTAATCCCAGCACTCAGGAGGCAGAGGCAGGTGGATCTCTGTGAGTTTGAGGCCAGCCTGGTCTAAAGAGCTAGATTCCAGGACAGGTTCCAAAACAATACAGAGAAACCCTGTCTCAAAAAAACAAAACAAAAAACAAAAACAAAACAAAAAAAATCAACAAAGACAACATTTTGTTACTATCAATACAATCATTATATCTCTGCAGTTATCTGAAGTTTAAAGGGAAAATGAAAATGTTGAAGTTTGCCATCATTTTTACAAATAATGAAGTATAAGTTAGCATTCATGCTTAAACTTCAAAGAAAATTCTGGAACTTTTATGAAATACTTGTCTCAAAAAAAATCTTAAGGGGACACATTTTATTGTATGAATATCAAATATTTTTATAGCGATTTACTAAAACTTTATGTATTTTATAAAATAAATACTATCATAAAGTATACTCCTAACTCATAAGAGAGGTAATGAAAAGAATTCAGGATTGAAATACATCCAGTAGAAAAGTGATCCTTGCTCTTCTTATCAGTTCTTTTGGAAAGAAACGGCATCTAGTGTGATGGACAAACTTGGTCTTTGCCAGGTGCTGTCCTCTGTTCTTCTGTTTCTGCTACAGCAGAGATGAAGAGTTCTTTAAGAATAACCTTATCTAAATTCTTTCCTGAGAATAAAACAAAATAGGGATTATATGAGGCTTACTAAAACAACATCTGAATTTCCAGAGTGTTAAATGCATGGTGCTCTCTAGAGATCTACGAAATCAACAGTAACTACATGACTCCTTCTACAACTTTCTAGTTAAACCTCAAATGCAGGTTAGTCCTTGAAGTAATCGCTTTTCTAAGTCATCTGAAGAGCAAAGTTCTAGCAAATCTTTTATTATCTGTGATTCAGACAAATGCACAAGCTTATGTAGCTAGTACAGGTTAAATAACACACTACATCTCCTACAAACCTATTCTTGTATTTTCCTTCAAAAACTTTTGTTACTTACCAATAAAGACCAGCTGACTTGCTCTCTTGGCATCATCTTTCCAGTTTTCTAGGCTCTCTTCCAGGTCGTACAGTTCATGGATGCCTTGCAAAATCATTTGCTGTGGTTTGTCTTTGATGGACACCAGCCCCTGCTCAAAGAACAATCACCATTCATCTCCAATTCAAGTTTGCAGCAGAAATAATACATAAGATTTGAAAATGCTACTTTTCAAAAGACCAACTTATAACAAAGCTACAAAAAATCACCCATTTCAATTATTTGCATATTTTAAGTTTTTTAAAAATTCTAATAATTTTGTGTACTCTGATCCCTGCCCTCCTCAAGACATGGTTTCTCTGTGTATCTCTGGATGTCCTACAACTCCCGCTGTAGACCAAGGTGGTCTCAAACCCAGAAATTTGCTGGCCTTTATCTCCGAAGTGCTGGGATTAAAGGCATGCACTACCATGTCTGACTACTTCTTTAAAATAAAGAATTACTTTCTCTTTTCTGTTTTTGTTGTTGTTGATTTGTTTGTTTGTTTGCTTGTTTTGGAGACAGGGCCTTGCTATGAAGCCCTAGCTAGCCTGAAACTTGCTATGCAGGCCAGGCTGGCCTCAAATTTGCCATCACCATGCTAGCAACAGTTCCTTTTTCTAATGATAAAATTAATATATCAGGATTTTCTAATGTTATTTATCACAACAAAAACTGAAAGTGATCGTATCTGTTATTGCACCATATCATACTAATTTCTCTGCCTTCAAGGGATTGGTATTTCTTTCACAAATTATCAGGAAAACTTGAAAAGTTAAGGTATTTTCTTGATGAATCTGTTTTGGAAATGTATTACAATAAACTTAGGCAATGATTGAATAGAAAGCTATTATATTCATCTGAATAAAAACTTCAGTGTGGGAATGGCAAGGTGTCTGGCTCAGAGGTAAAGGCACTTACACACACACACACACACACACACACACACACACACACACACACACACAATCTAAATGTCAAGTAGTATGAATGGCTTTCCAAAAACGGAACAACAATTCCAGTGTTTTGTACCTTTGTATAAAATATTTCAAATGTTTATAGTGTCGTTAATTTCATCAAGTAATATAAGGTTCAGCAGTGGCAGTATTTTCAACATGATTTCTCTGTTAAATGAAGCGCTCTTAGAAAAATAAACTATCTCCCTAAGTGACCAATCTGTGCCGAGAAGAATAGTTTTGACAGTGTCAAGCTTATGGGCCAGACAACTGCTGGGAATACCTGGCACAGGAAGTCTGGGCTAATGATCCCCAGGCACATAGGTTGTTTTAGGTGCAACACGAAATTAAACTGCAAATAAACAATTTGTTGTTGCTGCTGCTGTTTTACAGTGATTTCCAAAGCTCCTTTTCAGCTATGGAAATTATGAAAATGAGGGCAGACAAAGGTTATGTTTAAGTGTACTAAAATTGTTTCTGTTTAAAATCAAATGTGGTTTTTATATAACAGCCAAGAAAAGGGCACTCTCTCCAAAGTCTGTGAGGGCAAATTGCATACTACACCTTCAGCCGTATGACCTCCATGCAGTGGCCGTCCTTGTTTTGTATGTTCTTTTCCCACAGGAGATTCTGTATCGGGCAACACAATTTCATAAGACCAACCACTGCAAATGCAACAACTATGCAACAAACAGCTGATGAATCATTAATCAGTTAAAATTGCATTCACCTGGATAAATACATTTAGATTCTCTTCCTTCACACTTCCTGGTACTTCAAATGTGACTGTAACAATACTCTGTAAATCAAGAGAATAATCCATCATTTTTGAAGAATCACCTGCCAAGTTTTAAAACTATAACCAGTTTTAAGATGAAAAAAGAAGAGAGCCGTGCTTATGGAGTTTTAGCTGATTAATAACAGTAATCACTATTTCCCTCATTTTTTGGGAATCATCAACTCTACAAAGTAGATCACCAGTATTTAAAAACACCCCCCCCCCCATGTAAGGGTCCTGTGCAAATCAGGAGAGTAGCATACGCTGTGTGCATTCTGCTTGTGTCATCACATCTTTTCCTTTGCTCCTCACCACAACCCCGGGATGATGGGAATGTTTCACTTTATAAAGTCGGGAAAATGAAGCTCAGAAAAATAAATTACTGTGATGCAGAAGCACCGCTCAAAATGACAGTGTGACTCTGCTCTCAGAAAGCCATGTCTGGTGTCTCAATGAGCAAGCACTGTGCTGAGTGACAGGGGTTCTTAGCGAGGCTGGCAGCAGTGGCTTTTCTGGCTCAGGTTGTTGGGGCATCACAGAATTCAAGATTTATTTTTCCTCCTGGTCTCAAAAGATCTGTTTTCTCTAAAGAAGCTTAAGTTTCCTCTAATCGGTTAATAATTAAAATTCAGACCTCCCTTCAACAATATAACCCCAAACTTCAAACTTAGCAATGAAAACACACAAAGGCTTAGGATGTTGTTTAAAAACACCACTCCCACCCTGGATAGTAAGATGCTCAAGCCAAGCTCAAAATGTTTATAACAGGAAGAAAGAGGGTTAAACTCTGGGTAACATCTTAGAAATGCTCATCTCTCCAAGGATTTTAGAAGACCATATAAGACTAAAGAAGAAAACATAAAAAATGATTCAACTGTTTTATTTATTTAATTTTTGCTTCTTTGGTTTTGAAACAGGGTGTTGCTGTGTATTTCAAGCTGGCTTTGAACTCACAATCTCCATTTCAAGCTTAGCTGGAGCTCCAGAACTGTTTTTATGCAAATCTAGACTAGCTAAGAGCCAGACCAATATGCTGACACTTAATCCTCTGATGTTGTCAATATGCAAATCAGAGTGCTTTCTACTAAACATCAGCAGTCAACTTTAAAAAGCATGTTGGACTTTAAACTGTACAGAATATAAAAGTACTTCCCCTCATCTGTGGGACATAATACCATGACTCTGGTATTTGTATGAAACTACAGCTAACACTAAGCCACAAGGTAAGGCCTTTTCAATTTTAACAAAGCACTTACATGTTGTGGTTATAACTTCGACGCTTAAATCCAACTACAAAATTAGCACAAGTTTTTTTGTCTTTCTTCACAATGTCACAGATAGTAAATTCATTCTGACCAGGGATCCTAGCAATCTCAATATATGATTTTCCCCCTTTTTTATCAAATTACCTTTTCACATAAAGGAAGCACTCTATAGCTTCTCTTTGACACGTCATAATGTCAACATTATCAGTCTTGTGCTTTGGGAGGTGACTCATTAACACAAGGTCACATGAATGTAAGCATTGTGATACTGTGACAATAGATGTGGCAACAGATGCCAACTCAGTGAATGATGGGCAGGTACTGTATTCAGCATGGATCCAGCAGACAATGGGACGATCCACACAACACTCAGGACACAGCAGAATGGTGAGGATTCATAAAGCTACTCAGAATACCATGCAGTTTTAACCTGATGAAATATTTATTTCTGGAATTTTTACACTTAATATTTTGGATTGCAATTGGCTACACAGAATGGAAAACACAGATTATGCGTGCTCCACCTGTATTCAATGTTCATCAATAAGTGATTTTTTAAATGCTTTTTTTAAAGTGATGTGTATATACAATGGATTACTATATAGTCTCAGGAAGAAGGAAATTGTGCCATATAGTATAATGTGAATAAACCTTGAGGATGTTATCATAGATGGAAGTGAGTCAGGAGTAGAACAAATATTGTACAATTCCACTTGTAGTAAGTGCTTAAAGTAGTTAAACTTAGAGAAATCAGAAAATAAAATAGCAGCTACTCGGTGCTGGGAAGGCAGCACTGAGGAGCTGCTGTTCAATGAGTCCCATTTGAGTACCGCAGGACACAAAGTTCTGCTGTACAACACACATATAACAAAAAACGCTCACTTAGAATTTCTTTAGAGGACAGAGATCAACTTAAACAGTTTCTATTGTTTTCCCCACAGCAGTACAGGTTACTTATTTTAAGATCTTAGTAAACATATCCTACTTTAAAACTGCTTTTGGTAGTTCAAAGTAATCTTACGCATTTAAATAAAATGGTGATTTTTTTTTCTCATTAAAGAGATCACTATAAGTGCCTAAAACCTTATGCCTAGCTATACTACAAAAGGTTACAAATGAAATGCAATGTGTCAGTTTCAACAGAAAGTAATTTTGTCTTCAAAAAACATGAAGATGCATTTCGTTCAACTTAGTCTTTACTGCTGAGAATGCCTCAACACAGGACTCAGTATACTCCCTGCTTTACTGTTAGCTTAAAGGCTTTTCTGAGCATTCCCCCCTCCCCCTTCTTTTGCAGATTAGGGACATGACTTTATTCAGTTAGTTTTGGTTTTCTAAGACAGTCTCAAGGAACCCAGGCTGGCTTTGAACTGTTGACCCTCCTGCCATCTACCGCCTCAGAACTGGAAACACAGGCACTAGAGACAGGCATCACAACACCTTGCTATCACTTATTTTAAAAGGGTAAAATTAACACCAGCAATAGGCACAAATTATTCTTGAAACTAACAAAACGCATAATAGGGTTCAAGGTGGATGCCCCTGTTTTGGAACTGTGGCTTTCATACCAACTCTTTTCACACGAGGAAAACTCAAAGACAATGAAAGGTATATATTGTGGTAAAAGCTCAAGAATTCAAACTTGCCTCTAAAAATAAAACTAACCATAGCCACTTGGACTTTCTCGTCTATATTCCCATCCCAGCTCATCTTTATTAGGATTAAGCAAGGAATAATACAAAATAAAAAAGGTGAACTACAGTAAATATTTCTCAGTAACTCAGATACAGCATATCTTAGGTATTACCACCCTCAGACTAGATTTTTTTATATTTATTTTTGATTTGGACCTAAAACTAAATCTCTTTTCATGACTAGTAACACAAAGCAGAAAAAGGAAGCAATAATTCACATAATTAAAGCCTAATAAAGAAATTCCCCTAAAATAAAATTAACAGTAAATCTGGTTTGTTTTTGGCTTATTTTCCCAGTTAACTCACTAGATTCTCAGTTGTACCCTATGTAAATAAGACCTACTATGCAGTAACTTCTACATGGACAACCAAGCTCAGTAATGCACTCAAACTCACCTCCTCTTGTCCCCATGCTACAGTCCTTTACTGCTCTTTGCCTCTGGTGTTTTCTGCCTCCAAATGACAAGCTAAGCATGTAGCATTCTCATTCAAATCTTTGTCCTCCAGATGTTTCTAGAGTTTTCTAGGTTCCTCTAGTTAGTACACATTTCCCACCACTCCTCCTTCTTCTTACTAAATCCTCAGGCTCATGGATTTACCATTTCCACTGCAGGTATTCACTCCATGATATAGAATCTTCATGCTTGATCTCTAGATCCCCAAGACAAGTCCTGCCTCTCTAACACTGACACACAACAGTGTGAGCCTTCTTTGCCTTACACATTATACCTCAGCGCATTAGAACAAACTTCCAGTCCCTGTCATCTAAAAAAGACCTCTGTACTAAAAACCTGCTTCTCTGGGACATATGTTCTCACTTTTCAATGCCTGGATTACCTCCCCCCTTCTTTGTATCTACTTATAACAAACAAAAACAAAAACAAAAACAAACAAACCAGTCAACCAGCCAAAAAAAATCCTACTGGTTTAAAATTTCTCTTTAGTATTCAAGTCAGAATAACAATTACCTTTCTTTGACCAGCCAGTGCATAAGGGACTTTATTTTATCGATCTGAGTAGGAGATATAAAGGTAGGTGCTTGTACACATGTGTGTGTGTGTGTGTGTGTGTGTGTGTGTGTGTGTGTGTGTGTGTACAGATAACACTGAACTACACACTAAAACCTGAATGATTTACTTTATATAAAAATACTACCTTTCATAAAGCTTTTGATGAGGTTGAGGACAGATGTAATGGTTAACCTTCATTATCACTTGATTAGATTTAGAAACAGAATGGAGGGACTAGAGAGTTGGCTCTGTGGTCAAGAGCACTGGCTACTGTTCAAAGGTCCTGGCTTCAATGCCCAGCACTGACATGGCAGATCATCTCTCCTTCCCGGCTGCAGATGCAATGTGACAGCTGCCTCATGTCCCTGCTGCCACACCTGAAACTGTGAGCCAAAGTCAACCCTTCCTTCCTTCCTTCAAGTTGTTCTTGTCAGGTGGTTTGTCAGAGCAACAAGAAAAGTAACCAGTACAATGTTCTGGCCCTAAATATAGCACTTTGGCACTTGAGAAACAAAAGCAGGAAAACCACTCACCCACTCTACCCATCCCGCCTTCTCCCTGAAGCAGGCCATAAACATCACACTGCTTTACTGAGCTTTCCTTCCAACAGATCTTACAAGTCTTGTGTGACAAGTGCCAAGAAGAAAAGAGCATCCTTATCTGAAGGAAGTGGAGGAAGCCCTGAGTGAGAAGTCCTGAGTGGATATGTGTTGTTGACATAGGCACAGCCATGTCAAGGCATAGCCTCAGGTTCAGAGGAATGGCAAAGCCTTCTTCCGGGGACCAAGTGCAAGTGTTGACGGTGTGTGCAGAGTGTCTACCACTAATCAGATATTTATGGTCTGAAGTATGCTCCCCCACAGAAACTGCTCCTACCACGATTAGCTAAACGTGTCTCCTTGGTCATGCTATATTCCATACATTCTATTCAACTCTATAAAATAAACCCTGAGCTTCTAGCACCCTGAGGATTTTCTTTCAGTCAAAAGCCCAGACCACCCAATCCCAGCTTTCCTGTGTTTCTTTCTGTCTGTGTGCATCTGTCTTTTCTTCATTCCCTACAGCCCTAGTCAGGTCCAAATGCCTGAAGCAGCGGACAAACACATCACTTATGTCTGAAGATAAAAGTCACAAAGAAGACCCTAAATAAATAAGCTTTTGCCAAATCTTTCAACTTAATATTGTTAGGCCATATTCTTTCTCCTATCATCTCTCTCTACAACTCTCTATTATTAATTAAACCTATACAGAAACATTCAGGTTTAACCAATTAATAAGGATTTCATTCTGAAGGATTCCATATCATAAACTAGGTAAAAGTGTATGCTTTCTTCTTGCTAATCAATCTTGTGATGGGGACTTCAGCTCTGAATTTGACAAGGAGTGAAGAAGACATACAGTTCCTCCTCTACAAGTCTGATCCACTAAACCAATGAAATGGTTCATGCTTGAATCATAGATCCCTGGAACAACCCTTTGCTCTATGTTTATGCATTTAAAGCAGGGCAGTGTATCAGAAACTCATGTTGAGGTTTAACAAAAACAGACATGCCCTATTTACTGGAGAAATGATGTAATGTCTGGGAATTGCTTCAACATACTGTAGCAGGAGTCATGAGTACATACAGGTTCTTTATGCCATCCTACTTTTATGTATGACTAAAATTTACTATTTAGAAAATATATTTTAAACTCCAGAAAAGGAATGTTGGAAAGATAGATGAAATAAAATTGACAAAATGTTGATACCATTTAAACTAAATGATGTATACAAGAGATCCATTTTAGTTTCTTTACTTTTGCACAGCACTGAAAATATTCATAATAAAATGTTAAAACTATGATTAACATACATGTATTTAAGCCTCATTTCTGGAGATTTGAGGGGAAGGAACTATGGAATATCTGAACTTGGACAGCAAGAAAAGCAGAAAGATAGGAAGGCAGGCAGGCAAGATGCTCCAAAAGTGATTCTGAATTACACCACTGTTTGAGAATCTTCGTTCTTTGACAAATATTCACTGAGATGCTATTACATACCAAATCCTATACTATGTAATGAACAATTGTTTTTAAAGACTCTGTAGCAATGCAAGAGTAAAGCAAGGGGGAAGTGTTTCAAATCACACTGCACAATCTTATAAATACCACGATGGGCTGCATTCAGGACATCATGAATGTGGATACTGGCCATCTCCATTTTCTTTATCTTTTAATCCCAGATTCCTAATGTGATATCTCGAACCCAGCTCAGTAAGAATGTGCTGAAACTTCATCCCAGGACTGATACTAAATGCCATATACACTTGATTTCCCTTAAAATTCCACTGCCAAAGATTTACTATTTGTCTCACTTACTCATTTTAGAGGTAATGAATGTTATATTCTTTGAGAAGTATGCCATGCACATGGTGGTACAGCCCTCTGTGAACATGAGACAAAATGAAGACAATGTACAAGTGACTGTTGTTCTCTTGCCCATTACAAGCGGTAAAGACTTGGAAACTCAGTTACAGCTTCCAGACAGAAGGGCCAGGCACACAGTTCACTCACATTTAATCCTCTTACTGATTAAATGAAATCAAGGAGCTTCACTAAAGTTCTACCTTCTAGGACTTGCTTAGGAGAAACATTGTTTTGAGAGAACATATTTACTTTGTTCCCAGCATCTTAAATATCATCCTAGAGAATCACAAAAACTAGAGTTCAAATTTATAGTGCTACCGAAGGTAAAACTCAAGGTCAGGGTTTATTTAAATAAGCCATCCTTTATTTCCCCCTAATCAGTCAGTTAAATTTAGCTTAAGCAGAAAGCAGATAGAACCTCTGGGCTCATTTAGGTAGATTTTCTCATCAAAATAAGCTTGAACACAGGATTTTCTAAAATAGCAGGAAATATAGAAGCTTTGAATTCTTCTTAACATGTGAAAAAATTTCCTGCTAAACTAGATTGCACACACTCAAAGACATACAACTCCTAAAATTGCAAATATAATCTATAAATAACATGTTAGGAAGAGATCTAATAAAAAGTAATCTAAGTAGAACCAACTTAGTTGAAAGAGATACTTGAAAATTTTATAAAATTTTATTTTTACCTGATCAAGGTGGGGTGCTGTTGGTACATGCTGAAGCTTTTTCTGTAAACTAAGAACAACCAATCACAGGATGCAAAGATCAGTATACTTCTAATTTAATATTACTCATTACCCAGAAACACAGGCCAATTAAGAAACAAACATTTCATAACTGAATCTACCAGAAAGTTCTAATTTACCTACTGTGCATAAGTTCTAAATTTATACATACATGCAATATTTTTATAGAACAATTGAGAGATCTAAAATATATGTAGAGAAAAGCTGACAGATCTAAGAAATAAAAAATGCACACACATAAGTACCATACAATGAAGAGAAAAACTAATGTTTTAACAACATTCTATCGTTAAATGTCAGTTTTTTTAATTCAGTAGGTTAATACAATAATTTTAATAGGCTTAGAAACATACAGATGGTCATTCTGTAATGTTCCACATTTCTTACTTTTCATGCTTCCTAATATGAAAATACACTCGTATCTTTAAAAAGTTAGAAATGCAAATTTTCCTATATTAAGGGGTTTCCATTGAATGCACATATCTATTATTAAAGGACAAACAGAATCCAAGTACAAATTTCCTATATAGTCAGTTACTAGTTAAGAAAAAATGAAGCCAGGCATAGTGATACAAGCATACAGGAAGGAGGCAGAGGTAAGAGGATCTATTTGAGTTCGAAGACAACCTGGTCCATGTAGGGAGTTCCAGGACAGCCAGAGCTACACAGTGAAGTCTCAAAAGGAAGAGGGAGAGAGGAAAGAGGAGGGGGAGGGGGAGAGGGAGAGAAGATGAAAGAAAATGAACTTAGAATAATCTTAAGAATGCATTGTTCTGTTATGAGAAGAGCCAGGAGATCAATATGCAGAAGAGATTACTACCATAACAACTGGAGCACACACTTAGACAGTGATGGTGACTGGGGGGGGGGGGGACTTAAACCCTTGCAGATGTTGAGTCTCCAAGCACAGTGAAGGGTAAATTAGTAACAGCACATTTAGGCTGTAGGAACTATTGTGGAAGGAATGACTCACTCTGGGGGTCTTAGAGAGAAAGTGTCAAATTAAATCCTTCCCAGCTGGTTGCTAACAGCTAAGCAAAAAGAAAGCCAAGCAATGGCCTCATCTACTACTGGGGGACAACGTTACATTCGCACTCCTTTAAGTGCTGCTAAAACATTATAACTGCTCTTAATCAAAAGTACAAGGAGATTAGAAAACTGTTGGAAAATCATGTTTCAGTGTGTACATACACTCAGACAGTGAGTACATACAACTTCACATTCAAGAAAAAATCCAAGAAATTAACAAGGAACTTTAAGGGTTAGTTCCTGGTAAGTCTCAGGAATTGTATGCCCTTAATTTAGTTGTATATTAACAAGAAAAGAAACTGTACTTTAGTGGACAAGCATAAGGTAATAAAATCTGAAACTTTTTAATCAGAATCTTTTGTGTGAAAAACAACCTAATGAGTTGCATATTCCATATGCAACCATCGTTCAGTATAAAACTCTTGAGTACTCAAAAATGTACGGCAGGAAAACTTCACACTGTGGAAAGAAACAATCAGGTGCTCTGGCCATACCATATACACAGGAATGCTTAAATGACTACATACTCATAGTGACTCACATATACCATCACTCCTATCTTCGTACTGCCCAGACCAAGAAAAGGGAATGCATATTTTTACCCAGGTGCTCCAGCAATGGTCATTTTAACTTGTTGCTGGGTTACACTGAAACTCCAGCACCAGAAGCAATGGGTGAAAAGTAGCTCTTTACTAAAGACTTAACTAGCTAGAATGGCTAGCTGTAGCCCTTGAGTTGTAAGGTAACAAATCTAACTCGCTGGATTTCAATGTAAAATGATGAGGAAATAGCTGCCTTGCATATTCCATACTTCTAGGCACTAAATAAAGTAGCTCCATTAAAAAAAACCACAATAAATGGGAATTTAATTCTCTGTAAGATAAAGAGGTTCAATAAAACATCATGTCATATCCTCATGGGTTATTTTAGCCATTTTAAAGAGTGAGCAATACTAAAGACATGGGGGACTGGGTGCCTACTTGTAGCTTGTACAGAAGCACTCACTATACCTACTCATAAAAATAACAGCCTTACTCATTAAAAATATTCAGAAGTAAATATCTCTGATATTAAATAGACTCATATGAAACTTAAAAAATACTATAAGCATTATTTACAATAGCTAAGATGTGGAAATAACCTCGGCCCACAGAAGCAGGCACTTGAATATATTGGTTTCCAGGAGAGAAAGATAAGGCCCTTCCATTCAATGAATTTTACAAGTCTGTGTTATACATCATTATCATCATGCCTAAAGTTAACAATTCTGTATTGTAACAAAAATATATTATGAAAGAGCTTATGTTATATACTCTTAGTACAATTAGAGAAATAAATAAACAACTGAGTCAGACCCATCGGCACACATGTTTAATTCTAGTACTCCAGAGGCAGAGGCAGGCAGGTCTATGTGAGTTTGGGTCAGCTGGTCAATAGAGCAAGTTCCAGGCCAGCCAAAGCTACATAGCAAGATCCTGTCTCAAAACAAAACAACAACAAAACACTGATGTCCAAGAATAAATTTCTTCCTCTCTTTATTATAAAGATCCTTCCAAAAAACGAGACAGAAAACTGATCTACTAACTAAGGGGAAGGGAGTGGTCTGTGAGAGTACCCATTTAGATTTTTCTATGTATTTCATGAGTTTTTTTTTTTTTTTTTTTTTTTTTTAAAGAGTGTTGCAATGGTTGGTACACAAATATTGGTGAGTTCCGAGGCTTAAGTATCATTTACATTATAATTTCTATAGATATAGCTTTCATGATCATAATTAAAATGATCCTGTAAGCTGAGTACTTTAATCTCAGCACTTGGGAGGCTGAGGCAGAGGATCACAAGTTTAAAGGCCAAGATTTTCTTTTTATTCAGAAAACAAAACAAACCTATATGTCAAAGAAATGGCATCTTAAATAATGGGAAAAAGGAATGAAACACATTACATAAACAAAATGACCAAAATATTAAAAAAAAAAAAAGCATACCTTATTCCAGAGAGAATATCATAGGCATGAAGATCTAATATATTTGAGAGATGAACTCTAAAAGGAAGAAAATACATTTAAACTGTTGAAAATTCTGTGAAATATATCCAATTGATCAAGAATAAAATTTCAAATTGGGCACAGTAGCCAATTTCAGCATTTAGGACAAGAACAACCTTCAGAATTTAGCTCAAGGACATCCTTGGCTACTTAGTGAGTTCAAGGCCAGTCTGGGCTATATGAGACCCTGTCTCAAAAAGAAAATTTTCTTTTTCTTTTTTTTTTTTTTTTTGTATTTTCCACCTTTATTTGTCCCTTTTTATTATTTCATTTATTTATTTATTTACTTATTTATTTTTGAGACAGGTATATCTTTGGCTGTACTTGAAGTCAGTCTGCAGATTAAGCTGGCCTTAAAATCACAGATATCTGCCTGCCTCTGCTTCCAGTATGCTGGTATTAAAGGCATGTGCCACCATGCACAGCTACTCTATTTCTCTCTTAATCACCATCTTTTTTTTTTAATTTATTTTATATAACAAAGTCCATTTAAATGAAAACAAACATTTATAGACAATATTTGGGAATTTGGGCGTAGTTCTTTCCAAACTACTTCCTGCTGGTAAGGGGCGCTGTCATGGGGGATTCGAAGAAGATTCAGAAATCCTGGCTGTAGTCTGTAAGGCTGCTTTGTCCAGCTACATATGGAATTGGGGTGGAGGGATGGGAGGGGAGGGTGGTTAGAGTGCATGTGAGAGGGCAGAGAGGGTAAAAGAGAGGGAAGGAGGAAGGGAGGGAGGGAGAGGGAACTGGGATCGACATGTAAAATAATAAATTAAATTAAAAAAAAAATGCTTTGACTCCAAAATTTAAGTTCAAGAACAAGTTACTGGGGAAAAGGATTTCTATTTTTGTTTCCACAGAAAATGAAAAGATATGGATTCCTTCCAGACTAATGTGGTTCGATCAAGCCAGACCGCCTGAAACAGAATACCAGGTGATCCTACATTCAAAAAGAAAATTTTCTAAAGATCTTTTATCAAGGCCAGATGGTGGTAGCGCACTCCTTTAGTCCCAGTACTCAGGAGGCAGAGGCAGGCCTCCTGTGAGTTCAAGACCAGGCTGGTCTACAAGAGCTAGTTCCAGAACAGTCTCCAAAGCTAGAGAGACACTGTCTCGAAAAAACAAACAACAAAAACAGCCTACAACAACAAAAAAAAAGATATGTAAGTATAGAGATTAATCAGTCTTAGAGCTGGAGAGAAAGAGAGAGAGAGAGAGAGAGAGAGGGAGGACCTGGGTTTGGTTCTCAGCACCTGTGTGGCTCACAGCTGCCTGGAACTCGTTTTGGGAGATCTGATGCACATTTCTGAGCTCCCTGAGTATTAGACATAAGTCATTTTAAAAACTAGCATATTATATTTAGGGAGATACATTAAATGACAGGCAAGAAAACAAGAAATACTGTAAGAGAATTCTACCTAAAATTCCTAAAAGTAGATAAATGGTAAAGATCAGGCTCAGGCGTATGTGTGTACACACACACACACACACACACACACACACACACACACACACACACACAATCACTTGTTACTGCTTCAAAAGTTTCCTTTCCACTTCTGATTGTCCTTTAATTATAATTCTATATGCTTTAAAATATTTTCAGAGTAAAAAATTATCTAAATAACCTTTCCTAAACAGCTATTACCCCAAATGTGAAATAAAAGTAACAAATGGACAGTAGTTTACACACATTCCAAATGCCTTTGGGATTTTCCTAATTCTTTCATATCTTCTCTGATAAAATAGGTAATATAAAAATAGTAGGACTGGAGAGAAATAATATAGAAATACTAGGCTCAGCTGTTAAGAGCATACTGGCTGCTTTTCCAGAGGACCTGGGTTCAATTCTCAGCACCCACATGGCAGCTCACAACTGTCTATAACTCCTGTTCCAGGGCATCCAATACCCTCAGACAGACAGACGTGCAGAGAAAACACTAATGTACATAAAATAAAAAATAAATTATAAAAAAAATACTAGGACTCTAAAGCTGAGCATGATGGTGCACACCTTTTATCCCAGCACTTGGGAGGCAAAGGCAGTTGGGGGGTACCCTGGGGAGGGGCGTTGGCTGAGGAAGGGGAGACATTAGAACTCAGGCTCTGGGGCTGGAAGTACAGCACCTGGACACAGCATGTGTAAGGCTCTGGAATACTAATACCAATCAATCCCAAATACCAAAAAATAAAAAAAGATATAAATAAAACCAAAACGAGTCAAACCACCAGGGTGTGAATTAATACTAGCTCCCCCTGGAGCCACACCTTTGATTTTACTTGTTCAGAATGAGGGCACAAGAGGATAAAGCTTCCCGGTTCACAATGCTGTCACAACAAACTCTTTCTCTGAACATTAGTGACGCCTGAACCTTATCAGGAATGCAGCAATTCAAATAACTAAAAATCTACCTCAACCAGCACTTAGTTTGGTTTAAATACAGAGGTAAATTTACAAAAATGGATGACTGATTTCCAGTTTTAACATAAGTCCATGAAAGAGCAGAAAATGATGACTTCATAATTAAACTAATGGGAATATTTAAAAGAAAACAAAACTACAATCAAAAGTACAATTTAATCCAATACTAGACCCAAGCAGCTTGCCAGACATTTCTGAATATTTTTTTAAGAAGAAAAACAAAGTTCATTTGTCACATTCAAAATATCTGATTAAGAACACAGATGTAAGATAAAATAATCTCCTTTAGTTCAGAAATGACCAGCTGTGCCTGCCTTGTTTGCTTGCAGCAAGCAGCAATACACTCAGAACAGCATTCTATGAGATTATGAATGCTCATCTTGGCATAGACAGACAAATTCCCATCTTATTAAACAACAAATACCACCATGTTAATATACTATATAAAGACTTCAAATATTGGACAGGCTAGATGTTCTGAGCCAGGGAAATGATGAGGCAAATGTTCTGGGAATCCGAACATTTACACTAAGTGATAAAAATCCAAGCATTAAGCATACTTCCTTTTCCATCTTAACAGTTAAACAGATATTTATAAAGACAGATTGAAACCACACAAGTTTATCCTCTTCACTTCGGCAGTTTAAAGAAAAGTCTGTGTTACCAATTCTGTGAATACTCAGTTCTGTGTTAAAAAAACGCCCTTCAAAACACACCACTGCCCCACGGTGACTGTGTCCTTGAGAACACTGTCATTTAGAGATAACTCTGCTTGATACCATGTCCTTTAGGCACCTCTAAGAATGAAAAGACCAACAACAGAATAACCACAAGGAATCGATCACTTGCCAAAGTCTCAGTGGTCAGTATAAGAGGATAAGGCATACTCCCACGTGGAAGTTTTTTTATGACTTTTACCCCAAACCAATACTGCTTTGGAGAACAAAGTCTGTACTCATTTAAAACATGTCTAGAAAAAATTTCCACGGCATTGAATGTGTTCATTTAATTTCTCCCTTCTGAAATAAAATAACAGATATTTTTCTAAGACATTCAAACTATAAGATCAAAAGACCATTATTTTAAATTAAATAGGAAAACAAATCAAAGGAAAAAAAATCTTCAAAAGTTCATTCTCCCAGTCTTAAACAGCCTACAGCTACAACTTTAGGGAGATTGCCTAATAACCATCTTTTCAAATTCAGTGAGTCTCTCCAGAGGGATCACCAGGTCTACACAATTGCTGTTATTTCCACAAGCTTGGTGCTAAACCCTAGTACTAAATGTCCAAATGTTCTCATTACCCTTTCCAACCTTCTCATATGCCCTAAACGTCAGTGATTAGACCACAGTGAGTCCACTCCCTCAAGTGTCTCACTGCTTTTAAATCTTTCAGTAACTCCTTGCTGCCAACAGGAGAAAAATCCTATGTGTCATGGCATTCTTGGTCCTTGGAGCAAACTGAATAAAGCAACACAATGAAAACTAAAAAAAAAAGTACTTTTGTTTTACGTGGTTGTTTAATTCCTGAACCCACCCTGCAATGCTTACAACCAATGGAAAATTGAAATGGTTAACTTATTGACCCGCTGCATTTTGATTTTCCTCTATTCAATTCATGTGGATCTCTAAAATTGTAAAAGTCCAGAAAAGATAAGAATGCATGCCTTCTAACATCCCCTCCTACTTCAGAAGTCTATGCAGTCCTTTAGAACTTGTATTTGCCTGCCAATTCACTTAAACCTTGCCAGTAAGACAACACCACACATAATTCTTATCCCATTTTACAAGGTCAAGGTGAGCCTTTGCTTATGCATGCTTACAGTTCTTTCATTTTTTTCCAGCTTCTGTCAACTCAAAATACTAATGGGATTAAAATGCTAAAATTAATGACTAATTATTTTGCTAAGAATTAAATCTATGATCTAAACTGGGAAGCCCAAGTTGCCATATATCTCAGGGAATTTGGGAGAATAATGTAAGATTCATGACCCAATAGTAAGACTCCTACTTATAGCTGATCTTTATGGAAAAGGTCTCTAACTTAAGACCAGTGTTCCCAGCAAGGACATGCTATTTCCGAGTCACAGATCCACTTCCACCAGCAGATAATGAAGAATGAGGAGATGAAGATTTTCTTCACTTGCACCCTCATTCTTAAGTAGCAAACACTGCATGATTAATAGTCTTGTAAGAGAGCAAATGTTAAAATACACAACAAATGAAACCATTACATAATAAGCTAATCAAGAGGGAACTTTATTTAGAACATGGACAATTTCAAAGTAGAAATAAAGAAAATATGAACTGAATACATGCTGTCACTACAGAAACATACCCACTGATAGGTATGATTCTTAAAAGCAAACTGAAGTGTTATGGAGATGCCTGTCCATTATAAAATGAAGAAAATCAAGGAGAAACCAAATATAGACTGATAGGAAGAAGACATAGTGAGGAATGGCTCAGATTATGTGTTAGATTATCTTGTTTCTACAGCACAGTGCCTGTAGCAGGAACACAGCAAAAGCATCTGTGGCCCCTGAAAATGCATACCAAATTCATTCTCCAGCTGCACACACACTCAGAGCAGCTGCTGCTATTACTGCCTCACACTTCTGAATTCTGTCAACACCTCTAAGCTTCGCTACTGCAGCAAGCCACTCAGCTAAGGCTTCTGCATTTGACAATGGAACACTCAGTTAGAGGCTGGGTGGCACTAGGTTGCCAGCTATAAGGCTCAGAGGGGTCTACTAAGTCATTCTTGTCCCCAACATGATCTTAACAAAATACCCTTCCTGAAATCACAACAGCATTCAAAGAAAGACAATTCAATCTACAAAAATACAGTTCAGAGATTTTTTTTAAAGGAGTACAATTATTTCAGAAGATTATGTATATCTTTATGAACAGAACTACAAGAAGCTATAGAAGATGTAAATAAAGGAATGCATTAAAAACTTAAAACATAAAAAAAACTATGTACTCTTATTGAAGTTTATTTGCAACATTAAGGCTTTAAAGTACTAAAAACTCATTTAAAGGTCTTAAATTAAGATTCCGGAATAGCCTTTCCAGATTTATTTATCATAGCTCTGTAGTTCTTAGCAAAGGTACTAACTAAATATGGCAAATTAATTTGTAAACAGCATTAAGATAATATTTAGGTGTTACCTTAATGCATTTATGTCTTTATTATATCATAATTAAGTTACTTATCAATTTTTAATAACTAAAGGGTAAATTATTTGTTGTTGGTAGTAGTAACAGGTTTTTTTTTCTTCCTCCCTCTTCCCACCTTGAACTTCTAACTTCTGGTCTATACATCCAAAATGCTGAGATTACAGGCACATGAACTATGCACAGTTTATTGCAGTATTGTGGTCAACTCCAGGGCCTTATTCATGTTAGGCAACAATCTCCCAACTGACACATAACCTCCAATCCCAGTAATAACTTTAAAAAGTACCTTGATCTTTGAGTTTCTAAAATTTTTCCCAGTCCATTTATTGACCTGAAATAAAAAACAAAAGGGGTTAAAAAGTAAATGGTAACTTTTTAAAAAAGCATACAAAATCAATTATTCCTAAAACAAAGTAAACAGACACAGTGTAACCAGAACTAGTAAAAATTGAAAATGGAAAACAAACTTGCAGTTTTTTTAAAGGCTTAGAATTCTTTCCCTTCAAACCACATATCTGGCACAATCTAGTTGTGCAGTTAAGAAAACTTGTTGCTCAAAGCCTACCACACAACTGGAGGATATGTATGACTGTGAGTTACAAAAGGTTCTTTACTTTAGGAAATGGGTAAGGATGTGGCTCAGTGGTAGAGTTCTTATTAAAAAAGAAAAGGAAGGAAAAGAATGATTCGTAAGTAGCAGGGATTCCTAATGCTTTGTATACTCAAAACTTTTGCATGATAGCCAGTTTTAATATATACACATTGTAGAAATGGTGAATGCAAAACACCAAAATAAAAGAAAAAGGTTCCCTTTGGATGCCATAAAATATACTTTAATTCCTTTAAATACTGTGAACAACCATGTATTTTTATAACATTAATTCTCTTTTCTTTACAGATACATAGCCAAAATATGTGCTGCTTGTTGGATATGGTCTCATGGATAAGCCTTCCTGTGTGCAAGGATTCTGAGGTCTCACTTTTGGACGACTGAACAAGAGTCTTAATCTTCTCTCTGCAACTCTCCGCTGTAATAACTGCTCAGGAAGCACTCACTAAGTGTCAGGCACTGGGCATGGCTCACTAGCAATTCCCCAGGGCTCATGTACTACTTAAAGCAAACTTGTAAGATAGGTTTTATTCTTGTTTTGAAGATGGTGTTTAAGAAGCTTAAATAAAACAGTGAGAAACAGATCAAGGATTGCAGACTTCAACTCCATATTCTTAAACACTATGCAATATTATCTGCCTTCTACAGGAGACATTATTTTTTATAGTAAGACCTGAAGATATTATTATATAGAGGAAAAAGTATGAATTTCTTTCTCTTGTAATCATAATCACTACAAATAAACCTTTAATGAGTTATGTATTTTTTTATTCAGTTTTATAGTATATACTATATAAACTAGTGGTACTACAGTCAACACGTAAGGTCAACAGAAATTTGATCAGATATGGTAAGGCCAACCTGTTCTAAAAAACTCTATAATCACTAAGAGTGACCAATAAGGAAAGTTATTGAAATACATGGGAGTGTCTAATTTAGGTCTTAGAAAATAATTTAAGACACAGTCCCTGGACTTTACCCTCATCTGAAAAATCCACCTTTGGTTTCAAAGGGAATGGAACTCTCCAAACCAGCCAGCAAAATGACTGTTATATTATTTATTTATAACAGTATCATTCATACTATTCTATTTTGATTAGTCATGCACATAGGCAATACAGACATAAAGCAAGCTGGATGACAAAGCAGAGCTGACAAGGAAACCATTAAAATCAAGCTCACCAGATGAAAATATACAATATTACATATTATAAAGGAGAGGATATACTCAGAAACTGGCAAGTAAGAAAATATTGTGAGTAGGTGGGACCTGGTAAGATATATACATGAAAAAGTGAATTAGCTGTCTTAGGGAGTTAAGGAGGCTTGACCTTAGGAAACAGTCAAAGAACAGACAGGAAATAAAAACTTATAAAGGGAGTTGATGGACCTAGAAAATCAGCCTAAAAATTCCAAATTTTGTTTTGCAAGCACTGGTGAACTATTTCTATTTACTTAACGATTAGTCAAGAACAATATATGTGATTCCTTAATGACCTTTAAAGCAAGTCAATCATGAATCTTACGTTCCTTTAGAACAGTAGTCATGGCAAAAATATTTTACATATTAAAATTTAGGTTTGAACACATTTAACATAATTTTCATTGTTCTTTAAAAACAAATTTAGGTTTATTTTTTAAATTGACATTTAAAAACTGTACATAAAGAGGGTGCCATGTGACATCTCAATACATATACAAACTGTCTCACTTAGGTAAACATATCTATCTCCTCCAACATTCTTTCTTCTGGCTCTTTAAAATGCAATAGTTAAGTGCTGTCTACTGTACCTGATAGTTGTAGCTAATTTGTTTAGCTCCTCTTCAGAAACCAAGTCTGTTTTATTGATAAGAATCATGTCTGCCAAAGCAACTTGCCTAAAACAGCAAAGAATAAGTGTCAGAAGAAAAATTTAAGTCAACATTTCAATTAAGAATTAGCTTGGCTTCAGTATGCTCCCAATCTCATTCTACAGAAGAATTTCATGTAAGCTCATCCAAAAAGTATCTGTTAATGATTCTATGAAGATAAATCTCCAGAGTTTTTAATCAGAGAATAATTTTTAATTCATGGTGTGTGCGTGTTCATGTATACATTAAAGAAAAGCACAAATTCAGTTATCCATTACAATGAGAATAAGGATAGCCTATTTAGTTCTGAAAACAGCCTACTGTTGGCACAAAAATAGACAGGTAGACCAATGGAATCAAATTGAAAATCCTGATATTAACCCACACACCTATGAACACCTGATTTTCGACAAAGCAGCTAAAAGAATACAATGGGGCGAGGACAGCATCTTCAACAAATGGTGCTGGCACAATTGGATGATGGTGTGTAGAAGATTGCAGATAGACCCATGTCTGTCACCATGCACAAAACTCAAGTCCAAATGGATCAAAGACCTCAACATCAATCCAACCACACTGAACCTCTTAGAAGAGAAAGTAGGAGGTACCCTTGAACAAATTGGTATAGGAAATCACTTCCTGAACATAACTCCAGGGGCACAGACACTGACAGCAAAAATTAATAAATGGGACCTCTTCAAACTTAGAAGCTTCTTTAAGGCAAAGGACACAGTGGACAAGACCAAACGGCAGCCCACAGACCGGGAAAAAATTTTCACCAATGCTATATCTGACAAAGGGCTGATCTCCAAAATATACAAAGAACTCAAGAAACTAGTCAACAAAACACCAAATAACCCTATTAGAAAATGGGGTACAGAACTGAAGAAAGAATTCTCAATGGAGGAAATCAAAAAGGCTGAAAGACACTTAAGAAAATGCTCAACATCCTTAGCTATCAGGGAAATGCAAATCAAAACAACTTTGAGATACCATCTTACTCCTGCCAGAATGGCTAAAATTAGAAACAGCAATGCCAACTCATGCTGGAGAGGATGTGGAGAAAGTGGAACACTCCTCCACTGCTGGTGGGAGTGCAAATTCGTACAGCCATTTTGGAGATCAGTATGGCGGCTACTCAGGAAAATGGGAAATCAGTCTACCACAGGACCCAGCAATTCCGCTCTTAGGCATATAACCAAATGATCCACATCCATGCAACAAAGACATCTGTTCAACTATGTTCATAACAGCATTGTTTGTAATAGCAAGAACCTGGAAGCAACCTAGATGCCCCTCAATTGAAGAATGGATAAAGAAGATGTGGCACATCTACACAATGGAATACTACTCTGCAGAAAAAAATAATGGAATCTTGAAATTCGCAGGCAAGTGGATGGCACTTGAAGAAACCATCCTGAATGAGGTAACCCAGTCACAAAAAGAGGAACATAGTATGTACTCGCTCATATATGGATTTTAGACCTAGAGCAAAGGATTACAGCCTATAATTCACACCACCAGAGGAACTAGGATACAAGGTGTATTCTAAGAGATTCCTATAAAGTCCCTCCAGAAGGGGGAAGGGACAAGTCCCCCAGAGCACAGGGGAAGTGGGGGGGGGGGGTCAATGAAAGGAGAGAGAAGTAGGAGAAAGAGAAGGGGAGGAGAGGAAAACACATGCAACTAGGAAGATTGAGTCAGGGTAGGAATAGAAGACAGGAAGACAGGAGAGAGAGAGAGAGAGAGAGAGAGAGAGAGAGAGAGAGAGAGAGAGAGAGAGAGAGAGAGAACATAAAAGAAAGAGCCAATATTGGTTTGAAGAGAAAACTGAACCCAAAGAAAGATCTAGAGACCTACAAGACTGCCGCCACCTAACAATTGAGCATCTGTGGAAAGTACCATAAATGCCCTTCCTGGACAATGAGATCAACAACTAACTTATCCATGGAGCCCTCACCTAATACCTGTTGGAAACAGAAGCAAACACCCATAACTAAACACTGAGTCGAACTAGAATCCAGATGCAGATGGAGAGGACAAGACCAGGTTGCAGAAACACATAGAGACAGCTGACCTGAACAAGGAGGAGCTAACGGGCCCTCAGACTAATAGCTGGGAATCCAGCATGGGACTGACTCAGGCCCCCTGTATATGGGTCTCAGCCAGAAGGACTGAACAGTCTAAGGGACCTCAGACAATAGAACCAGGAGGTATTCCTGGTGCACAAATGGACCTTGCAAACACATTCCCCATGGAGGGATACTGCCTTAACCTAGAGACAGGAGAAAAGTCCTAGTCCCTACTTCAAATGACCTGCCAGAACTACATGACCCCACCTGGATGGCATTGCCCTACATATGTAATTGGGGTGGGGGGATGGGAGGGGAGGGTGGTCAGGGTGCATGTGAGGGGGCAGAGAGGGTAAGAGAAAGAGAGGGAGGGAGGGAGGGAGAACCGGGATTGACATGTAAAATAATAAATTAAATTAAAAAAAAGGACAGCCTATTTGATAAAAATAGCAAAATAGACCATAATTTTCAAAATACAGAGAAAAAGTTTATTTAACATTAAAAAGTTTGCTTTATAATACTTCAAAAATTTATCACTATCTTATATAAATATCTTCTTCATCCATTTGAATATGTATTTATTATTGTAAAATAGATACACAGAAATCCCAGTTAAATAATCCAACTGATAAAATGCTACATAATATAACAGATTTCCCCCAATTCTATAGGAAATTCTAATCACTATACTACTAGTTTCTGTTAATATTCAGGCATCTGTACTGGCCTGTCCTTGAGGTTCTGACAGGATTCACCCTCAGCTGCAGCCACTAAGAGACCACCTGTGCACATCCCCTATGTTCCCTGCTCACCTCCCATCCTCCTCTCTCTCTCTCTCTCTCTCTCTCTCTCTCTCTCTCTCTCTCTCTCTCTCTCTCTCCCTCTCTCTGCTCTCTCTGTTTGCTGTTTCCCTCCCTCTCCCTCTTTCCTCTCTCCTGCTGCCCCTAACTCCGGAGGCCAGTCTCCCCCATCCCTTTTCCCCTTTTTATGATCCCTTTCCCTAATAAAAGTCCCTCTGCTTGAACCTTGTCTCATGGCATCTTTCTCTCAAGTGCTGCTTTTCTTAAATTACAACAGTTTCTAATTCTGTTCTTAAAATATAAATTAGAACACAAGCAAAACTGAAAATAAAACTACATCATAATCCTACTTCTACTTAAGTATTTTAATGTGGCCAAAGACAGAATGTACACATTCCAAATATTAACCACCACAATCTTTAAGTTGGATACTTTCTGTTTAATCTTTCATGGACTTCACAACTTTCTGACATTTTCTATTTGGCTTATGTATATTTTCTAAAATAACCATTTCAGAAGGAAAAAGTTACAATCATATTTAAATTCTTTGTAATTTAAATCATAAGTACATAGCAACACAGTATTTAGGAAGGACTACAAAAGAATTCAATCATCAAACTCCAAGATAACAAGGAATCATTTGTTTACAGTCCTAATTTCCTGTGCTGAGATCATCTGTAGCAAATCCCAGGAGGCCTCACTGGTAAGCCCAGCAGCATATTTGGTTTCAAAACCTTCATCCCATTAGTGAAAATATTCTTAGGGTAGGGAAACTCATTTAAATACTTGTACATTTACAGAAAAAAACAATTAAGAACGTAAAAGTACTTAAAATTGTTTTAAGTGCCAAGTCAAAAAGTATTTCAGTATTTGCTCCCCTGTACTGAGTAACAGGGAGGCCGAGGCAATTTCTAAGGGAGCAAAGTAACTTTCTTCAATTCTAAAGAAGCGGCATTAGAATCAAATGCTTCTGAATGTTAAAATCTTCTAAGTTCATAAAATCAACTAAATCCTGTGTTTACCACTCATTTTATCCCACAATATAAATGGTTTAAATAAAATGCTAGTTATGAGTCCATAATGGGTAGTCAGCAATAATATATGGGAGGAAAAGAAAATAAGTTTGCCTTAACTATCTTCGTAATTTTTTAGTCCTTATTGTTTTGTTTTTATGTTATTTATTTTCTTCTCTCTGGCTAGTTAGCAATCAATATAAGTCTTGAATGTGAATACCTTGTAGCTTCATTGACAAGACCATCGGGTTTTTCTTCAGTTAAATGCTGAACAAAACAAAAATTTAAAGTAATTACTATAATACAATAAAAAAATCTAATGTCAACAAAGGATTCAACTTTAAAGCTATCTCTTTTTTTTTAATCTTAATGAGACTTTAAGTTTCATTACTAAATGCAAATGTAGAAAGATTTATTTAGTTAGTAACTGTAATTGAAGCAGCCCCTCTCTCAACACTATTTATATCCTGAAGTCATCTATGCCATAAAGCCATAAAGGTTACCAGGGGTTGTCTTCTGCAAATTCATGTTTTCAACCTTATCACCTTACCTCTCAACAAAGACTCCCCATCACAACAAAAAGCTGGCGATTCAGGACTACAGACAACTAGATATTAACATTTTACGTTCTAATCGAATTTTATAAATTATTTAATTTTGGGGTTGGAGAGATGACTTAGCCATTAAAGGCTAGGCTCACAATCAAAAATATTTCATTTTAAAAACATTTTAACTCATTTAGGCATCAAGACAATGAGAAGTAGCTATTTTCATTTTATACACACACACACACACATATATAAGAGCTTAAATCTAATGCCCTCATCACCACAAAATACTGTTTCTATATAGTATCACCAGATTATTTTTTATTAAAAGCATACTTAATGGAAGTAAAGTGAACACAATTTAAGATCTTTTTAAAAAGCTTTTATGCCATTTACAACCAGTCTTCCTTACATAAGAATATATGTAGAATTACATACAAATTACATCATATTTTGTCAGGCTAGTTTCACAATTCATGAGGAGGTGACTATTATAGCCTAGAACTTAAGACACGCCGATGATTACTTAATAGACTTGGCTAAGAGTAAAAAAATGATCCTTTTCTAAAAGTTTATCAAATACCACTTAGGAACAACAAAACTAAAAAGAGCCAAAGTCATGACAGTGACATTGTCATTTCATTTCTGAGTACAATTTTATAAATCCAATCACATATTTACTCCCCAGTTATAGAGCTCACAGAAGAGTGCATTGTATCAACAAATTTAATATTCATGTTTTCATAATTATTCATGGATTCTTACTGTTAATAAATCCATTTAGCATGATATAGTCTGTATCTGGAGAATAAAGCTATTATCAGGCCCTAGAACAGTCTATAAGTGAACTGTAGTTAACAATCCTATTTGCTGACATAGACACATAAATCTGTTTAATGAAAAATGGTATAAAACATATAGTAACATCTCTTTCCACTGAGCAGTCAAAAGTGATGCATCTGCATAATTTATGCAATAATCTTTAAAACTGAAATATTTTTGAAGATGCTCTATTGGAAGCTTCATTTGCATGCATATCAATAGATGTATCTGATTGTAACTGTCACATGTAAAAAAAGATGTTAAAATTAACTACTTCAAAATTTTTCTTAAATGTAATTGAAAAGTAAAAAATCTGACAGTTTTACAAAACAACTTGCCATGTTTGAGTCATTTATCCAAGAAATTTTCACTCAGAGCTAAATGGGACAGAATAACATTTGATTATCTCTAGATAGATAAGAGATTAAAAACAAAGCTAACTTAAAATCTCCCAAAATGGAAGTCTGGCAATATGTACAACTTGATTACAAGTACATGTGATGATCCTAGAAAAGTGATAAATGCCCCACTTTCTATATATGAAAAGTAGTAAATGTATACTAACACTTATTTTTTGGGTGTCAGCCCTACATTTATTTCCCTTATGAAAAGTCCTATTTCCTCAAGCCAAGCTTAGCAAAAAGACCAAAACCTTATTTGCTATTCAGAAGATATTTGAATTATAAAATATAAGATATTATAAAATAAGAACAAAAATGTAAATTCGATATTCTATTCTACCTATACAGGCATACAATAAAGTCTCCTAAAAGTAAAAAAAGAAAAAAAAATTACCTATTTTCTTTTCTGCTAAAGACTATAGCTTTTGTTTATATTTCAAAAGAGACAACAATAGTTTTAGTACTAATAAACCCATATTCAAAGAGCACAGGTTCAAACTCCCAATGTGGCCTACCATGACAAACAAAATAAGGAGGTGAGATGGTGGCCAATGTGTACACAGTTCTAGTTTCTCAGGAGGAATAAATTCTGGAAATTTATTCTGGAAAGCTAATTATAGCATAGCAACTATAATTAGAGCTATGGTATGGGGTAATAGAAATTTCAAGAATAATCTCACCCTATAAGCTAGGAAAAAGATGTTAACTATGTAAGTAGATGGACAAGGTTGGTATTTGGTTGTTTCACAATGTCTCTAGAACATATACACACACAGATCAGGGTAGCAAACTGTATACCTTAAATCTATACAATTATTTATGGGTTATGGCTCAATAAAGTTAAGGAACAAAAAAAAGCATTCAAAAAATAAATTACTACTATAGTCACAACTTCAAGAAGAACTAAAGGAGTTCTTTCCTGCAAGGGGGGGGGGGGAACACAAGCAAACAAAGAAAATAAATCAAAATTGTCTAAAATTCATTAACTAAGAAAGAAGTGTGCTGACCACAGTGGAAACAAATCCAATGTCAAAGATGTCAGACATCAGACAAAGAAAAAAGAGAGAAATGGCAGCATTTATTTAAAAAAAAAAAAAAAAAAAAAAAAAAAAAACAAGAACTAGTTAGAGACCTAAAGTAGTTTCAGCTTTGAAAAAATTATCGCATAATGTCAGTCTATTTATTTTTCTGGACTTTTCCAAAACAAACTCATTTCTGACTGAATTGTTTCAATAGCTTGTGCAATACAACAGAAGACTCAAAAAGAAACCTCTTGCTTGACCTTTGATGTGTAAACTTCATTCATTGATTCTATTGCATTAAATGCTGTCACATTTGTAGAACTGAAAAGAACAATGTCAGTGCCTAGATGTCAAGCCTTGAGAATAGAGCGCTGTCATTTTAAGTTGTCCAATTCTTTGCCCATGATTAAAAAATGAATATTTCAGATCAATGGGTGACAATCCCATTAGAGTGATAGCCCATGATATCAATTACCACTTCAGTTTCAATTTGGCTGGCTGGCCACAGGGTACCATTTCTCAGCTTTACTTGTGATGGGCTGGCTCTGTGAAGCATGACACCCTTAAATTGCTGCCCATTATCCAACTGTCATTACTTGTACTGCCTCAGAATTCTCTGAATCGCAAGCAGCTACTGAGGTCAAGCTTTGCAACCAGAGGAATTGGACAAGTTGGCAAATTCTTTATATAAAGGCAAAGTTATTTATCTGACATCTGACTTGGAAAATCTAAAGTTTCCATTATCCTGACAGTATGTCAGTTTTGTGTAGGTATATTGATTTAATAATTTAAGAGGTTTTATCAAGGTGGCAAGGGGTTAAACATATACTGTGTTTGCATTATTGAGAACATTATTTTGAGGTATCCATCATACCAGTAAAAGATTCTATTTAATTTCTCCCTGTATCTAACTATAGATATAAAACTATTTCTATAAACATAAGGACTTTGGGTAAAGCATGTTAAATCCATATTAAAAAAAAAAAAAAAAAAAAGCAAGTGAAATGTCCTAGCTGCTATCTTATATATCCTAAATTTGTGAAACAACTTATAAAGGAAATTAATTCAAACATGCCTAAAAAAAAAATGTTCAAAATAAGAAATTTTAAGTTTCCTAATGGTTTTTTTCACTATCTCCATTCACATTTTCTTGAAATATGATTTGAAAATAGCCATTAACATGATTTTTTTTTTCTGTTGAGAAGTCTGTTTCTCTCTCTTTCCCTACCTTCCCTTTCCTCCCTCCTTCTTACCCCAACTCTAAATGCCTATAGTCCAGGATTGCATAGGCTAAACGGTAGAACATTCACAGAGAGAGAGAGAGAGAGAGAGAGAGAAAGAGAGAGAACCATTAGAATTTTTCTGAATAAAACTGTAATATTTGCAATCTTCCTTTGAGTTCTATTCTATTCATAAATTTAGACTATAAACTCTAGAACAGGATTCAAATGTCTCAGATTAGAGTACTGAGAACTGGGGTACAAAGGGGTACAAATGACTGATAGCCATTTGGACAGACCTGACAAATTTTCCCACAATATAATTTCATTGAAGATTTAAAAGACCAACATAAAAATTAAGTTTAGATACATCAAGAGGTAAAATACTCAACTAATGTTTAAACACTAATTTTTAACTCCCAAGAAATTTTGTTTGCTTTCTGAGCCAGGTTCTCACTACATATATAACACTGGCTGGCCTGGAATTCACTATGTAGATCAAGCTGTCCTCCAACTCACTGACATCTCCTGTCTCTGCCTCCCAGCTTCTGAGACATAAGGTTTGCATCACTATACCCAGTCTCCATGGGATTACGGGAAGTGCTATTTCATCTCCTGCAACAATAAGCATCTGAGTGAATTGTATACATTGAAGCTAAAGAAATACACTTAAATACACAGCAGTTGTATCATTTAATGAAGAATCTCTTATTATGTACTAATTTTTACTTCTTCAAAATTAAATAGGTCAGTATTTTGTTTAAAAATTAATTCATAGTTTGTGTTTGTTAACTGCTCTTCACAAAACTAAAATCTCATATATTTTATTAAGCTTATTTTTTTCTATAAAATAAAAACAATAGTGGGAATGGATTCTAGTGGGAAGTAACACATATCCAAACTTTATCCTGACTCTACAACTTTATTATAAAAACTCAGATTTTTATCACAACACCAAACCAGGCTAAAATAAATCCTAAATTTAAAACCACATAATAATAATACTATACAAACACACAAACTGTACCTTTTACTGAACTATTATTTGGAGATTTTTTATTGTGTATGTGTAGCTTTGTAGACCAGCCTGGCCTTGAACTCACAGAGATCTGCCTGCCTCTATGAGCCCTTCCACCCCATACCCCACACCCCACCCCCATGCTAGGATTAAAGGCTATTATTTTGAAAAATAGTTTTTGTTAAGAAAAGCTTAACAGGCTGGTGGGTGGTAGCACATGCCTTTAATCCCAGCACTAAGGAGGCAGAGACAGGTGGGTATCTTTGAGTTCAAGACCAGCCTGGTCTACAAGAGCTAGTTCCAAGACAGCCTCCAAAGACACAGAGAAACCATGTCTCAAAAAAAAAAAAAAAAAAAAAAAAAGAGTTTAACAGAAACAGAAAATAATACACCAACCCCTCCATTCTTACTCCTTGACAATCAGCAAGTTATATTTGCTCAACTTACTTTTAATCCATATTTTGAATCTACAACAGTTATGATACCTATAAAAAAAATAAACAAGTTAGTCACTCTTTAAAGTTATCAGCTTTATGCAACTATACTTGAGAAGGAAAATTAAAACATCCTTCAGTTCATTTCAATGAAGTATTTTTTTCTCTTACCAATGCAGCAAATTTACTTATTCTCAGGAATAAGCAAATATGTTTCAAATATATATTGAAATACTAGCTCTGTTTCTAAACAATGAGAAAATTTTAAAAAAATAATATTTAAAAATTAAGACAACAATAAAATAAAACTTCTTTGGTGTTTAAAAGCTTAAAAGTCTAAATAAAGATACATTCCATAATATCATAATATATAATGAAATAAGAGAAATTAATGCAAGACAGGTTATTTTTATTTTCACAGTCAAAATGAGGCTTTTCTAAATATTTAATGTTTAAAGAATTTGAGACTTTTTTTTTTTCCTGATTTTTCTAGACAGAGTTTCTCCGTAGCTTTGGAGCCTGTCCTGGAATTCACTTTGTAGACCAGGCTAGCCTTAAACTCACAATGATATGCCTGTCTCTGCCTCTTGAGTGCTGGGATTAAAGGCAAGCACTACCACTGCCCAGCAATCTGAAACATCTTAGGACATCATATTCCTAACCTCTGCTAATACACCTAATTCACAAAACTGTTTTACATAGCAAATACTTAAATTCTCAAAAGATCAATCAGTTCAGCAATTTCTGAATTTATGTCAAACTGTAAAAATATAACAGCAGAATGTGATGTCTATGAAATTCAATAAGCTATATGACACACACACACACACGTATGTATATACACTACTGCCCAAGGAAACCCAGCTTCAATGATTCTTACCCTATAGTCTACATGACCGGTTTCAAGAAATGTAATGAGAAGAAAAGAGAAATGACAGGGGAAAGTGAATATAGCTGCTACACTAAGAAAGTGGTATCAAGCTTATACATTTATATAGACTGACAAGAAGAGTTAAGTAGTGTATGTATGTGTACAGCATTCTGAATTCTCATCTGCAAAGAGAAATGAAAGCAGGTAAATTATCTTAGCTACAAAGCACTACCTTTGTACTAAGTGCACCATGGCAACAGAGGACTCAGGCAATCTACAGAGAATGTTGAAAGGAAAGCCTGAGTCCGAGTCCTGAATCGGAGCTGAGAACAATCCCTAAAAATGCAGTTTTATCACTGACTAGGACTTTAGAATCCCTATCAACAAAAACTTGACTCATCAAAAATTAAATAATTTTTAAAAGAATAATGGTGTAGGAATTAAAACTGCAATATAAAAAAAATGAGATCAACCATTAAATAAACCTTACTAAAAACACAAGAAATATTTTAACTTACCATCAAGATAAATATCACTCCCTAACTCAGCATCAACCCAAAACATAGAAGCCACTGCACCTGAAAATATATAATATAATAATATTCATCAAAGAAAGTATTTCTTCAAATTGCAAAACATGATTTTACCAGTCTTATTTTTCACCAGTGGAATTAGCTGCTAAACACATATACAAACTAAACTTACACTTCAATCTTTTTATGAGGATTACAATGATAGGACTTTTCAAGATCTGCAGTCATCCTATTCCTCTCCCTTTTTCTCAAAACAATAAATCTTAGCACTCATCAAACATCATGCTTCTATTGATGCCAAAATAATTTACCAATAAATACTGTGAAACAATTTGGATACATTGAGTATACATTGGATGAGTTTTCTCATTTCCTAAATATGATTATCATACAGTTCACAAATAATAAATTCCTCCTAAGGAAAAGCAAATAAAACACTTGCTAAAACAAATCCACTTGTAATCTTTATAGAAGAAAAAGAACAAGAAAAATTACAAGGTCTCTGGTGGTACTATACATTACTTAGTACCAGGCACAAAATTTGCACCTGAAGAAAAAATATGTCTAAGAAAGAAATTAAAATTTGTTTTTGACAGGAACTGATTTAGCACAAAACCACACATTCTGATTAGTGTGTAGCAATACAAGAAAAGGAAATTGACAGCAAGGGAAAGCATTTGATTTTTCAAAGCATCACTGTCCCAGTTAGTGATGGTGCTGTCTAAAAGAATGAGCATCGGGGCAAACAAGGATAACTGAACCCATCCTACTGTCTAAAGCTGTCTACCCCCTCTGACAAGATGTGGTCCTAGTAAACATCACTCTGTGTCAACAGTGAAACACCTGCCAGCTGTTTACAGTGATTACTCATGCAAGACATAGCAAGGGCCACAAGATCTAATGGTTTCCTGATACCTATTGATTTTTTCCCAAAAACTTAATAGTTTTCCAATTTGACTGAAATAGGATTTGTGTGAGTAACAGGAGCAGAATCAATGTCTGTCCTCTTCAAGGAAATTACTTTACCATGACAATTATTTAGCGAAGAACCGGAGAGTGTCAGTCTCCTAAGCGACAAACAACTGAATTGCCATTAAGAATTATTTCCACTTTCTTAACTAAAAACACTGTTTTAATTAATAAAGGAGAAAAGAGTAAATTTACTGCACCATGACACCGAACAATAAGATACAAAAAAGTACTAATTTCTTTACTTAGCCAAATAACTCTAAAACCTGGCTGCTTTTTAGTCAAATAAATGGCTTTAAGTCTTACTTCTTATGAGGACGAATTGTAAATGTATATTACGGCTAATATTCTAAACATCATTTACATCTGATAGAATCCTTACAAGATGCACAAGAAAGAACTATCTGAACTATAGATGTGGGTGCTTAGGAATAGCAAAGATGGGGGAGTGGAGTAGGTGACTCTTCTCCCCAGAGAATATTAGGCAATGCCTAAAGTTAATTTTAGTTGCTCCTAGGAATATGCTACTGGTAGGCAGAACCAAGGATGCTGTTAAACATTCTATAACAAGCAAGACAGCACCCCTCACAGAAGATGCCATCCAAAACATCATTTGTGTCAAAGCTGAGAAATTCTGAACTACATTACTGGATCTCCCTTCTTCAAATTCTGATGAAAGAAAATTTTAGAAAAAAATGTAAATACCAAAATTTTATCAGAACAACCAAATAATAAGAAAAGATCAGTTCCCTAACCACAAATAGAGAAGTGTAATAGTCAAAACTGGAAACAAAGTTCTGGGTGAAGGTGGTGGTTTGAATACCAACGGCCCCACAGGCTCACATACTTGAATGCTTGGTTATTAGGGAATGTGCTACTTGACAGGGACTAGTATGTGCGGCCTTGTTGGAGGAAGTATGTCACTGTGGGTAGTTTTGGGGGTTTTAAATGCTCAGGTCAGGTCCAGTGTCTATTTCTTCCTGCTGCTTCAGATCTAGACATAAAACTCTCAGCTACCATGCCTGCCTGTGTGTTGCCACACTCCCTTGCTCTGAAACTGTGAGCAAGCCCCCTTAAATGCTTTCATTTGTTAGAGTTGCTGTGGCTACAGTATCTCTTCACAGCAACAGAACACTGGCTAAGACAGTGAGTTACTATGGTCTTTCCTAATTCAATTTCCACACCCCAAAGGAGGTTTCAGAAGAATAGTTTACAAAATTCTACTACTATCTCCCCAAAATACAAGATGTAGGACTAACTGGAAAGCAATAAAGGGGAAGTGTCCATGATAACAACAAACATTTCAAAAATAAAAAATTGTAATCACTTCTATGTCAGGGGAATTTGCTTTGTAGGATTAAAAGCAATAGGAACAAGAGCTTGAAGTCTAATGATGCCCCACAGCATGAAGGACTATCTATGTACTACTAGGTGTGTGGAACAAACCCAAGACAGTCATAATGGATATTTGAGGGCAGAAGCTAAAAGCCACTTTATTTCATATCTGTCTGGTCACCCATTTCCATTAGCTTTCCTCTTCATGTGTCCCAATAATTCCCAGCTTTCAAACTGGGGCACAAAACACACACACACACACACACACACACACACACACACACACACACACACACACGAGTAAGATACTGAAGATATTAAAAGAAATTCATCAATGAACACAGGTTAAAAAAAAAAGAATCCTCTGATTTTCCCACAACAGGCATAAAAGCACACATGTGATTTTAGCAGAGGAAAACAAATACAGATAAATGCCAGGAAGGGAAAAAGAATGGAGTAATTTAATAGGTCAACAAATGGCAAAAGATTCATTTTGCAAGGAAACATAATCCAAGAAATTAAATAAAACTGTGAAGTAGCTCTTCATAACAAAAAAAAAAAAATCTGAAAGCAACAGAAAACAAAAACAAGCTTGAAGGCAAAGAGAGAAAGAGAGAGCAGAATAATATAACAGGCTTTGTATCACTAATAAAATAAATTTGGAATGAATTTAATAGCATCGTTGCTTAATCAATAAATTAATTTATAATAGTAAGGAACAGAAAACAGTATGAGGGGAATTATTGACATAAGGAAAACATAAGATTATAAGTAAAACATAAGTAAACATAACTGCAGAAGATAAATCAGAACAATTAAAAGAGGGCTAAGGTACTCAAAAACAGTACAAAGAAAATTAGAAGCAAGAGAGACGGCTCAACAGGCCAAACCTGGTACTTTGGTATCTAATCCCAGGACCCACATGGTGAAGAGAGAGAGTCAACTCCCACAGACTGTCCCATGAACTCCACACGTGTACCACAGCATGCACACTCATATTCATTGTCATTTATCCATATTCATTCATTTTCTCTCCCTCTCCCTCCTTCACCCTCTAAACCCCTTCCCTTGTAAACAAATATATAAACAAATTAACATAATTTTTAAGAGAAAATTAGACTAGTTAAAAGAACAAAATAAAATTCATTGGTCTCGGTATAAAACCATATATTTTGATAGGAAAAAAGTATTCACATTAATTAAAAAAAATGAAAATGTCCTTAAATAAAGTGTAGAAAAAACACAGCTAAAAATAGAAATGAATTCCCACATTTTTTTACCAGACCACAACAATTTGGGGCCTGACCCCAGTGACTTTTGATGTATTATGCAAACATCAGGGGACTAATTATTTTTAAGAAATGTATGTACATGCGTGTTTTGCATGCATATGTATCTGCACCAGATACACATGTCTTGGGTTCAAATAGGCTAGAGGAAGGCACTGATCCCTAAAACTGGAGTTACAGATGGTTGTGAGCTGCCATGTGAGCTCTGGGACTGACCCTGGTCCTCTGGAAGAGCAGCCAGTACTCTTAACTGCTGAGCCATCTCTCCAGCCACCCTTCCCCCCCCCCCCAGCCTAATCCTTAATGACCAATGATGCCCTACCCAATCTCAAGAGCACCCATGCCAGGTAGCTCACAAGCACCTGTAACTCCAGTTCCTGGGGATCTGGATCTGACACCCATTTCTGGTTTCTTTGGGCACCTGTACATACTCATACAAACACACATGTTGTGGGAGCTCAATCCAATTAGCCAATGGCATTTAGGGTGACTAGCCATATGGGCATGGTTTTCTCGGATACAAACTGGTAGGGGGTGCACTCTCTCTCTCTCCCTCCCTCTGTCTCTCTCTCTCTTCCTCCCCCTCCCTCCCCCTCTCTCTCTCTCTCTCTCTCTCTCTCTCTCTCTCTCTCTCTCTGGCTTAGACATGAAAGACTTCCTGTTGCACCATTTGGTGACCTGGTCAGGAGCTTTCTCCATCTTTTCCTGGTGGACAAGGGTGGACAAGAGGCAAGGGTGTTGCTTCCCACTGTATCCCTACCTCATCCCTTAATAAATAAGTCTTCCCAAGCATCCATGAATTTTTCCCAATACACACACACACACACACACACACACACACACACACACACAAATAACTTATTCCTACAATAACTCTACATTAATTAATACAATTAACTTCAAATTCTATTAACAGCTTAAATGCCTCAATAAGTACAGTGACGACTCTTACATGACGCAAAGCCAGACTTTCTCTTCCTTTGAACAATAATAAAAAAAATCCAGAGTAAAGCCTTAGGTCTGGTGAAATGGCTCAGCAGGAAAAGCACTTCCTGTGCAAGAGTTATGACCAGACCCAAAATGTCCACATAAAAGCTAGGTAGGCATGGCCGCCCACTTGCAATTCCAACAAGGGGAAGTAAATAAAGACAAGCTGGAGACAGGGAATTCCTGAAGCAAGCTGGATAGCCAGAGCAGCAAAAGTGACAAGTTCAGTTCTTAGTTCACTGAGAAACCCTACATCATCAATATCCCAGGTAGAAAGCCCACACACATTGGAACATGTATACATACATGGATGCATAAGGCTTTAATAAGGCTTTAATCCCATTTTAACTATTTCTCTAAGGTAAAAAGAACTACATGCTGGTTACTAATAATGTCATTTCTTACCAGGATCTGCTAGTCCGGTGGTCTCTAAGAGTATGTAATCAAATTTCCCCTTCTTTTGCATCAGATTCTCTATAGCTCTAAGGCCATTGTCTCTGAGAATACCAAAAACATAGTAATAACTGATTATCTAAACATTTTAAAACAATAACAACACAAAAATGTTTTCTGGTACATACAAATATTAACTCCTTCTTAAGCTTCTAATAAAATGTCCAATATTTAATAATAAGAAGAAAACAGGTGCAAATACAGAAAAATGATGTGTAATAAGTTCATTGTTTTATTAAAACTAAAAGCAAAGGGGGATGTTACCTAATAAAAGTCAGTATTTTATTTTGCAGCTTTATAAAAGAAAACCAGTATAAATGATGAAATTTATTGTCTACAGTAGTTCAATATGAAATGAAAGGAACACTGTCACTGCATACCTTTTAACTGTAGTCTGAATTAGGGTGCAGTATAATTTCCTTGGGGATGTGAGAAGCCTCTCACTATACAGCACAACCTTGCCTGGAATTGTAAATCGTCCTGCTTCCACTTCCCAAATGCTGGGATTACAGGCTTTTATTATCTGTTTTTTTATCCTTATAGTAGCAAAAGTTAAGGTAAATATTGAATGTGGTGCCTTTGGTTATGACCACTTCCTCTTTGCAAAAGGTATTACTCAGTGTCAAACATTTATGATTGTAAGTAATGCAGGAGAAACTTAGTTCACTATAATATAGAAAATCAACAGCACATATAGTAATTATAATAACTTAGCCAAGCATTTATTTTATCAGATAATTTATCTGAGTTGCTGTCAGGTACTCTTCTAGGACAGATGGTGCCTTAGTAAACTAAAAGGACACTGCCCATGGAAACTTAAGTAGTGACCTAATATAAGGTTCTTTCTCTGTTTCTTTGTGTGTTTATTTGTTGATACTGGAATTTGAACACAGAGCCACAAATATGCTAAATAAGCATGCTACTACTGAGTTATATTCCCAGTTCTCTTTTTTCTTTTATTTTGAGACAATATCTCATTAAGTTCCTCAGGCTAGCTTTGATTCACTTGGTAGTCCAAGTAGATGTTAAGAGGCTCCTGCATCAGCCTCTCAAGTAGCTAGAATTACAAATCTGTATTACCAGACTTAGCTGAGTCTTCCCTCTTTCTTACGTGTTTGTATGTGTGGGCATGTGTGGTGATATGTATATGCACGTGTGTACAAAGAGGACAGATATCAATGTTGGGTATCTTTCTCAATAACTTTCCACCTTTTTTTTTTTTTTTTTTTCTTTATTACAGGATCTCTCACTTACTGCCTGGACAATGGAGCTCTAGAGATCTACCATTCTCCCTGCCTACTCAGCACTGGGATTATAAACTCACACTGCCACACCTTACATTTCAGGTTGGTACTTGGGTCTTAAACTCAGGTCCTCAAGCTTGTGTAGAAAGCACTTTACCCACACACATTCCCAACCCATGATTATTCTCTTTTATGACAGTCATTTATTTTTTATTTTAAAGATTGAATACTTAGGGGCTTGAGGGATGGCTCAGTGGGTAAAGAGCAATTGTTGATTTTTCATAGGAACAGAGTTCAATTCACAGCATCCACATGATAGCTTACAAATGTCTGCAACTCCAGTTTCAAGGTACTCAGTGCCCTCTCTGGATTCTGTGGGCACCATGCATGAATGTAGTACACAGGCATACATGCAGATAAAACACCAATACATACAAAATACAATTTTTTTAAAAGAAGAGGTTGAATATTTGAAAATAAGAGTAATGGCACATTAAATTCAGAATAATCTTGTTTTACATATGAAATAAGATACTGAAAAATAATTTCTAAAAAATTAAATTTAAGAATAAGAACACTGGAACAAATAGAAAATAATAGCAAGAAACATTTAAAGAAAACACAATCTAACAAATATATATCCTATCCAAAAAATGCAATGGTACAAGCTATGCAGGTAAATTCAATTAAACTACACAGGAAAACCAAAGCTGAAAATATAATCAACAAGCATCTTAAGTCAGCCAACAAGCACATAGTAAACCCACTCCTTACTTCACAGAACAGCAAAGGCAACCGTTTCTAAGTTCCAGCCACTCTTCATAGAGTTCTCCACCTTGACTGATAGATAAGGATTTCTCTACTGCACTCCCTAGAAACAGGAACAAGCAGTCTTTAGATTGCAAAACAGAGTAGATTCAGAAACAGAGTAGATTCCAATACAGAAACTATAGCTTAGAACATGTATTCTCTCATAACTCTGAATCAATCAATAAAACTTCAAATTCTATTAACAGCTTAAAAGTCTCAAAAAGTATACTGAGGACTCTTCTGTGATAGAAGCCAGAATCTCTCTTTTTTTGAACAACTAAAGTAAAACCTAAAGTCAATATTTAATACAGTAAATATTTAAATTATGGCCGGGAGTTGGTGGTACACGCCTTTAATCCCAGCACTCGGGAAGCTGAGGTAGGCAGATCTCTGTGAGTTCAAGACCAACCTGGTCTACAAGAGCTAGTTCCAGGACAGCTTCCAAAGCCACAGAGAAACCCTGCCTCAAAAATAAATAAATAAAATAAAATAAATTAAGGTACTCTAGATGTTTTTAACTTTTCTTTCTGTAAGATTTAAATAGAGCCAGGCATGGTGTACACCTATAATCCCAACATTCTAGTCTGAGACAGAAGGATCTCGAGTTTAAGATACAACTGGGCTCCAAAGCAAGTTCCAGATCCGCCTGGGCTACACAGTGAGACCTTATCCCAAAAATGTATAAAGATGGGTTAAGAGCCTCTTGCACAAACCTCCCAGTACCCACAGTGCCCACTGAAGAGCTAACAAAACACCTATAACTCCAGCTCCTAGGGATTCAAGGTACACACACACACACACACACACACACACACACACACACACACACACATTTTGTTTTTCTTTCCTTTTCTTTTGTTTTTTGAGACAGGGTTTCTCTGTGTAGCTTTGGAGCCTATCCTGAACTTGTTCTATAGACCAGGCTAGTCTAGAGCTCACAATCTACCTGCCTCTGCCAGGATTAAAGGTGTGCACCAGGCCTAGCTAATTTTAAAAATTTAATGAAGAGGGGCTGAAGAGATGGCTTACAGGTTAAGAACACTCATTGCTCTTGCAGAAGACATAAATTTGATTCTCAGAACCCATATGGGAGCTCACAACTGGCTATAGTTCCAGTTCCAGGAGATCCAACACGCTCCTCTCTGTCACAGGCATTCATGTGGTATAGAAAGATACACATAAGCAAAACACTTTATATATGTATTTGTATACATAAAATATTTATAAAATATTAAGTAAATAATTTAAGTTAATAAAAAGAAAAATCCAAAATTAATAAACACATCTACTTCCTCCTCCTAACTCTTAGTTGTCCAACTCCATTTATTAATAGAGGAGCTACCCTGAAGACATTTTTTTTCTTCTCATTCATTATAAACTTTCTAAGTATACTGGGTTTTGTATGTTCTTCAACCTCTCATGAGACTGTTTACCTTTTAATTCCTTACTAAGTCGGTAGTTTCTATTAAAAGTTGCTCAGGATTCTAAATATACATTAAAACCCTACTTCATTTTCACAAAGGATTTTAGCCAAAATATCATGTAGTCCTTTAAAAATTAAACTTTTACTCAAATAAAAAAAGTCTCTTAGTAAGGCTTACCTGGGAAATAAGTACACATGAGATGTTTATCATAAGAATGATTTTAGATGTTTTAAATACAATACCAATGCCAGGGAAAGTTGTTAAATAGCAAAAGAAAAAAAGATTTTCATTTATGTATTTTCTGTTCATATTTTAGTTGGGTGATGATAGAATATCACATAATACTAGGCTATATAAAATATTAAAAAGTACTGAGGATGTTGCAAAGGGCAAAACCATAAAAACTATACAAAATGAAGAAAAACAGTAAGAAATGATGAATATAACCAGTGTACAACAAAATATCTATTAATAAAAAGATAGAAAAAGACTTATAGAATCTTCCAGTTTTTAATGGCTAAAAGCATAGCTGAGAGAGAAAGAATTTTCTTAGCATACAAGAACCCTTGCACCACAACCAATCTATCAGTCTCTTTAGATGTGCTTTACTTATTATGTATGGGGAGGGGCTTGTCTTTGAAGTGGGTGGACTGTATGTGGAGATCAAACTTTTGGGAGTTGGGTCTCACCTGGCTGAGGCATGGAGCTTGTACTCTAGACTAGCTTAATAAAAATTAATCCTAATTTTCTGAAACTACTCATAGTGACCTCGTATTATAATACCAACCAATCTAATTTTAAGAACAGAATATCATCAATTCACCAGTGGGAAAAGGGTCTCAAATATTATTGCAATATGACAGTTATTGAACTTTACTTACCTTCTCCAAATTCATTTAAAATAACTGCTATTTTTCTATTATGTTGTTCAGTCAAAATGTAGTTCAGAAGTGTTGTCTTTCCAGCACCTATAAAACACATTAAAGCAACAAAATTCAAAGACTAATTCTCAAAACACACTTAGTGATAGTACAGAGGACTATACAGAAGAGATTAGAAAAACCTTTGAAAACTATATTATTCCTTATGTGCATTTCATAAATAATTACAGATAATCTTACAAATTGAATAAGTTGACAAAAATGTCTTCATCATAACTTAAAATACAGCAATAAAGGGCATCTAAAAATCTAAAATAAAAGAATTGATGAATTATGGTTTCTAAGAAATGTCATTTCATGGCAGGCGGTGGTGGTACACGCCTTTAATCCCAGCATCTGAGAGGCAGAGGCAAGCAGATCTCTGTGAGTTCGAGGCCAGCCTGATCTACAAAGCTACACAGAGAAACCCTGTCTGGAAAAACAAATAAAAAAAAAAAAGAAATATTACTTCTAAAATAAAAATATGTAGATTCCTTTCATGATGCCCTTTTCTCAAGTAAGAATACTTGGTTACTTCCCTAAACTTATTCAACCTATTTCAATAGCCACGAACTAGCTATCAATTCATGTTGACTATAAAGATACTTTTAGTATTCATAAGCAGTCTATTATTATAAAACTGACTTTATAAAATGGGGTACAGAGACAGTAAGTGTACACTAAAGACTATTCAGTTAAGAAATTCGTAAGACTATACTAACTTTATCCAGCAGGTGGCATAATAACCTAGTTTGTTCATCTCAAGCAGAAGAAAAACATTAATCTTGTAAGCCAAAGACTCCAAAGTTCATAATGGAATATATGTATATTTAAAAATTAACATCATCTTAACTGCACAGCAGTGTAGTTCAATTACTGGAATGTATCATTTATTTTTCTGTAGGTAAACATTTTGATTGGCCCCTAATATTTTACTGTCAAAAGCAGTAATGCTAAAAAGTATTACACATAGTTTGAACATATCTACTAAAATACATCTGTAAGTTTCCCATGGGTATAACTACGAGAGAGTGAGGAAGTATCAGGGTACTAATATTTTCAACATTTTAGGTTATTTTCCTTTTAAGAGTTTTTGAAGAGATGACACTTTATTTTTAAAATGCTTTGAGAAGCTCAATATAAATAGGTGGCTTGTAAGGAGAGACAGATTTAAGAACACAGAACAATGAGGAAATTCTTAAAATAAGAGGCCCTGAATATAAACATGTACAGGCCAATGACAAAGTTGAAAGCCATACATGTAAGAGATTTTCTCCAACGAATTATTAGAGCTTAATAATTAACCATGTTATGAAGAAAAAGCCATCAAGATATAATTGACATTCATTCAAAGTATCTACCAGGCACCAAATTTAAGGCTCTGTCTCTATCAAGCTTACATGTTAAAGGGGGTAGGTGAAAAACTTAGATAAAAATTAGGAAGCTATTTTTGTCACAAAGTTGATCACTTAACAGGAGACACACAAAATACTATAAAGAACTTAAGAGGGCTATTGAGCCAGAGCAGTTACAGGGAGAAATATTCCAAGGGGTACCTTAAAGACAGCAGTTCTCAATCTACAGGTCACAACCCCTTTGGAAGTCAAACGACCTTTTCACAGGGGTCGCCTAAGACAATCCTCCATATCAGATATTTACATTATGATTCATACCTGTAGCAAAATTACAGCTATTAATTGTCAACAAAAATAATTTTTATGGTTGGGGATTACCATGACATGAGGAACTGTATTAAAGGGTTGCAGCATTAGAGAGTTGAAAACCACTGATTTTAAAAGTAAAATAAGTTCAATGTGTTGGGCCATCCGATAGGCTGGCGAGGTAGGCAAGAACCACATCACAGAGGTGCTCAAATTCCTGCTAAGGAGCCTAAACTTTCATCCAAGCAGAAGACGCTGAAGGGTGTGACACAATCAAACTAAGACTTTGTAAGGATCAGTAGGGCTAGCATATGGTTATATGAAGGAGCAGGGACTCAGGACCTCAGCAGTTAGGAGATACTGTTGGTGCTGCAGGGATTGGGAATGTCAGGAGCAGGATTTGAGGAGGTGTTAGTGTATGAAGTGTGTTGGACAAGTAAGTCTGGAGTTGCCGGTAGGACATCCAAACTGAAACTATACAGAAATGAAACTAAATGCCAGAGAAATAGGTGGGAAGTAGGCGGCCAGAGGAACAGTGTTCCCAGGATTTCAAAAAGAAATGGCAAAGGTGGCAAACTGTCCCCTAGGTTCAGTCAGCAACAAGGAGGTTGCTAGGGTTCGCCCTGATCCCAGAGCTTCAGACCATTCCTTACCTGCATTGTTCCTTTCACCTACCAGTAGACAAAACGCAGAAAGGCAAAGAGGCAAGTTTGAAGCATGCCCTTCGAACAAGAAATTCACTCAACGTCTATGGAGTAGCTAGCCTCTGAATCCAAAACATTATTCCTTTATAAAAATTAGGTCCTAGAATATTCTTGGTCTGACTCTAGAAGGAAAAACAGAATCACTGGTGAGAGGCACCAATGATTAAGACATCATATGGAAATCGTGTGTAAAAGGTGTGCCAAGTGCAGGTTGTCTCTTGCAGCGCACAGGAATGAGTGCACTTTACTCATATGTGTGGTCACTCATTTGTTGTCGCCCTCTGTTAAATGCACTGTTTTAAAAGGATATCTGTAAATGTTTCCCACGAAAAATAAGCACGTCACCTGGCCTTCATAAATCGGTGTTTCGGCTACCCCCTAGGTGCCCCCAACACTTCAAGGCAAAGATATTATTCTAACTCGATGCCCTACAGGGCTTTGCAAGCAGCCCTCAAAGGAGGGTGGGGGGGACAGTTCACAACAGTAGAAACTTCCCTCTGTTGACTGAAGAGTTTGGTTCCTGTGAAGGGGATCTCTATTTTGCATACAGGGCATCTTTATTGTTATTATTATTATTACCGTTGGTTTTGTTTTGTTTTGTTTCTGATGAGAAAAATGAACTCAGGTGATTTTTACTATTTTCCTTCTTAACTGAGATGGATGAGCTTCACAAAGGTAAGAAGACAGCTTATCAAGAGTCCACGGGACAATAAGGTGAGTCTGGGCTTCAAAACAACCTTTGAAAAAACGAGGAGAAAGAGACCCCAGCCCCTACCTCGAAGACATTCGTCCTCGGCCACGGGGCTCGGGTGCCTGAGGAGACACGGCAGACCCCCCCTCCGAGAGCACACCACACGGTTCACGGCCTTTTTCTGAGTCTGTTAATTACCTAAATACCCGGTGATAATTGTGACTGGAATCTTAATGATGAAGTCAAGATTTTCCTCTTCTTGGTTGTTGGTCGCAATGGGGACCAGTTCAGGACAATCCTCCGCGTACTCCTCTTCCGCCTCCACAGTGTTCATAGTCGGTAACATGCCACCGGCAGCCTACCGACCCTCAGCGAAAACGCTGCCACAGTCGCCCTACTGCGACTGGATTCTGTCAGCGCGGCGCTGATGACGCCACCACAACGCGACGCGTAGCCTGACTTTCAGGAACCAGCCCGCCCTCCGGCTACGCCCCCTGTAAGACACGCCCCTATGCAGATATAGATACGCCCCTCCGAGGACGGGACACACCCCCGGATGTGAGGTGAGCTCTAGGGGCGTGCCCTCTGAGGTTGAGCCTGGCGGCGCTGTGTTGTTAGGATGCTAGGAGCTCTCTTGCCTCCAAGCTGTGAGTGCTCCTGGGGCTAGCTGCTGTCTGTTGCTAGGGCTGAGGCTAGACTTGTTATGGCTCCGAGTGGCTTCACCAAAGCAGTTCCCTCAGGACAGACTTTCTCAAGTTGACTTCTCTTCACGCTCAATAAACCCGGTCTTTTTCTTCACAATGAAAAGAATGATTATGGGAGTCATGCTACGAATTGAAATCTTTCTACCGGAAGGATAACTAGTGAAACTCTTTATAATTACCTATTATCGTTATCTGAACTTTTACAATGTAATAATTTATATGTTTTATTTTTTTCGTTTTCCTTATTTACTTAGATATCAGTTAAACTCGGTTTTATTTTATTTGTTGGTGGATAATATTCTTGTTACTCTATGGAGAACATTCCTTTGCAATTGTGTATAGTGAACTCCTTGATAGCACCCCAACCCAAAAATACTAAATTGCATTTCTTCTATTCCAACCTAGAATACTAACTAAAATCATGAATTTGCTTGGAGTTGTTTCACATTCCTTTACATATTTGTATTGTCCTGATACACATGCACATAAGTTTAATTTTACTTGTTTTTCCGTTTCATAAAAAGAATACCGTACAATGTATATAATCTCTAGGGGGTTGCTGCATTTCCAGCTTTACTGCTGAATTTCCTGTCAATTGTTTTCAGGTGTTGCTGTTTTGTTTAGTTTTGAGACATTAATACATTTTCCCAACAATGTAAGAGATGGTATTGATCTAGTGCCAGTATTAGTAGACATCAATCCCTTACCAATTACATACAATGTGATCACCAGTTGCATTTCATTGGTTTATGAACAAGACTGAGCATATTCAACTCTGAGCCTCGGGAGGATAATTTAGGACAGATGGCTAACAAGCAATGTTGTGTCAAAATGAGGCTTTACTCAGAGTAAAAAAGAGTTTGTTGTAGAATCTCATTTTAACCAGGCAAAGATATGTTATGTTTGTTTATGCTGCAGAATATTAAACTGTGAAAAGATGTGTTACTTTTGTTTATGCTGCATTTGTTTAATTATGTAAAGATGTACTGCATTTGTTTCACCTTGCCTGTTTAAGGCACCTGATGGGTCTAATAAAAAGCTGAACAACCAATAGCTAGGCAGGAGAAAGGGTAGGCAGGGCTGACAGGCAATCAATCAATCAATCAATCAATCAATCAATAAATAAATAAATAAATAAATAGGAGAAATCTAGACTTAAGAGAGAAGAAAAAAGGAAGGACACGAGGGAGAAGAGAGAACGAGGGAGACACCCTGGGCCAGAAGCCAGGCAGCCTACAGCCAGACAGACTGCAAGAAAGCAAGAAAAGGTAAAAAGCCCCAAGGCTAGCCAAAAAGGTCAAGCATTCAAAACCAGTAAGAAGTCTCTGTGTCATGGTTTGGGAGCCCAAAAGAAAGAGCCTGGTACAAAAGTTACATACATTGAGTGTTCTATTACCCCAAACACCCACCAACTGACAGACAAACAAGGTGGTATGTCCAGACAGGGGAAATGAATTGGCAATAAACAGGTACAAAATACTGGTGACCTGATACCAAATAAACAGATCTCAGAAACACGCTAAAAATAAAGCCATACACAAAGACTACACACTGTCCAAGTTCTTTTGTGTAGTTTGTCCACAATAGGCAAATCTAGAGAGATGGAAAACAAGTAGTGATTGCTAAGGACTGGGGAGTCACTGCTAATGAGTACCATGTATTTTTGTTGTTGTTGTTGTTGTTGTTTTGTTTGTCTTTTCCAGACAGGGTTTCTCTGTGTAACAGCCCTAGCTGTCCTGGAACCCATTTTGTACACCAGGCTGGCCTCAAACTCACAGGAATCTGCCTGTCTCTGCGTCCTAAGTGCTGGGATTTAAAGGCATGCACCACCAATACCCAGGAAGTACCAGGTATTTTTATGATAATAAGAATGTTCCAAACTTGATTGTCAGTATGGTAAAACAACTCTGAATTCCCCGAAAAGCACTGCGTTGTGCACATTAAATCGGTCAATTTTATCTTACATGAGTTTTATATCTTAACTGCTTTTGTTGTTGTTGTTGTTAAGGACCATCATGTGCTCAAATGTTGGGAAGTTTTCATTTTGTTTTTCACAGAGAATTGATGACTTTATCAGTCTGACCTTAGGTACAAACATAAAGCTTACAGCTTGGTAAAATTTTTCCTTTAGTCTTTTTTGCATATCCCTCTCCAATAAATTAATTACCCATTTACTCTATGAATCTATTTTCTTTTCTCACTGTAGTAACCAAGCAGAATTTAGCAAGCATATTTCTGAAGAACAAGGTTTTAATCTATTAAATCTAAGACTCAGAGCCTCATTTCTCCTAGGTAGCTAGATCTGACTATCATTTCTATTACAGGAAAAGAGTTCATTTTTCTAAGTGAGCCTTTGTTGTTATTGTTTAATTCAGAATGTCTTTTAAAGGATGTTAAAATGATTCCCTTTTATAATATGGTAGATTGTAGCAGTTTTTCATTTATCTTAAAATTCTCTCCACACTTAACTTTGCTATTTTTTATTTCATCTCAATAAATTTATGGTAAAATAATAATAAGAGCAATAATTACAATGTGTGGCATCCTTGCTATCTAATGAATATTATATTAAGCATATTAAATATCTTTAACTCTATGATAAATACTATTTGTATGCCCACTTCATAGACTAAACTTAGGAAATTAAGTATCATGCTCAAGGTCATGCAAGCAGTGACAGTTCTGTGACTCACTCCAGATCTGCCTTACCAAAAATTCCATGTACTGCCAACCCTGGGATCTTCAAGCTTTAAAAACAAACAAACAAACAGGTAATGAACACTTTTGGCTTAACAGACCCAAAAGCAAACACAGGGGCAATGTGTTTGCATACTAAAGGAAACAGATTTCTACAACCTTTAAATTTTAAATTTCACTTTATTTAAAAATATGCAAGCCATTCATAACTTGTAGTCCTTACAAAAACAAGGGAGGCAGCAGGCTATGGTTTATCAACTCCTGATATAATGCAATGCAATATTTTCTTGAACTGTGTTAAATAAAGTCTAGTGAAAAGAACTCACTCTCTTCATTTTGAGTTATAAATCTCTCAGCATTCAGCAGTTTTGTACACCACAATTACTGTAAGCCTAGAACCAGGCAGAAGAGGGGCTGAAGCTCAGAAATAAAGATTATTAACGTTATTCCTGTCCAGCTGGAGGGAGACCTAGTTGGATCATTTGTAATCTTTCCACAGTAGGATCCCTGCTAGTGAGGAGCAAAACAGACAAGCCTTTCAGGGAGTCTAGATTCTAGCAGCTCAGCTTTGTGACCATCACCCTGCTGTCCCAAAGTCCCTGGGCAGATTTCCCTGTCACTCCCCATTGCTTCATTTTTCTTCCTTGAATAGTTACATCTGTCACCATGAGAAGATCTAAACGATGACAATATCTAACCCAGAGGAAAAATAATGCCAACTTGCCTTTTTTTTTTTTTTTCTTCTATTTTGCAACTTCCTGTTCAGGCACACTCATGGCCAGCAATAGCTACTGGCTTAGAGAAAAGGAAACTGAGAGTAAATTTCATAATCAGTCCACTTCTTTTTAGTTAGCAAGTAAATAAACAAAATATGTTTATAAATATTTAATGTTTACCAGTTTGATACATTTTGAGAACATATCTGAAAGGCCTCAGAGGAATGGCAGCTATTCTTGTGACTAGTTAAGGTTGATTATTGGTATTCAGTACTTGATAATCTTGTGTTAAAATTTACAACCACTCTAAAGAAATAGTATCTCCTCACTAGAATATTAAAATTGCTTGACAGATGGAATGTGTATATTTCCATGATTTAGGAGGTACTATATGGATTCAGGCATTATGATGACCTAACCCTGTTACCTGACAGAATGACCAGTGCTCTGGTCAGCCCAGGGTTCCATGGTTGCATAGTCTGCATGCAGATGCAAAGGACCCCTTTAAAATAAAGACCCCACCCACTTATACTCTCCCCCCCTTCCCCAGGGCAGACAGGACTTTCCCTGTCTCCCTCTTCTCTCTCTGGGTCTCTTTGCCTCTTTTCTCACCCCCCCCCACCCCTCTTTCTAATAAAACCTCTCACTAAGCACTGTCTGCCTGGCATGTTTGTCCCCCTCCCCTCACCCCTACCTCCCCACACTCCTACTTTGGTCACCCTCTCCTGCCATGGAATCCACCAAGGCTCCCCTAGCGCTTTCTCTTCACAGGTCTGACTTTCAAAGGCAATACTTTTGGTAATACTTTTAAACTCTGTTATCTTGCAGGAATTGAAAAATGCTATTAATAAGGTTTAACTTACATGCCAGTCACTTAAAAAGCTAGCTTCTTACAAATTCAAAGGCAAAACAAAACACTAATGAAAGCCTGCAGGCAGACTAGATGGAGTGGTGCATGACTGTGTCAAGCAAGGAACTACCTTGTGCAACACCACAAAAAAAAAAAAAAAAAAAAAAAAAAAAAAAGTTCTGTTGTAATTGCTTAGGCAGATAGTTTAAGCTATCTTTGTTTCAGCACAAATTTGAAGGTATCGTTTGTGGCTTTAAACTTTACTTTGTAACACTTATAGTTTTAAGGAAGTGTACATGCAGATGCTTGGTCACTATTTCTTGACTGTAAGTGAAAAACACAGAAATCAGTGAGCCTCTCCATCTGTCTGCCTCATGCTCCTGTCCCAATTTCCCTTGACAAGTGCGACCCTCACTTAACAAATGCTATGTGTGCTACCTGACTTGGAGGCCCAGGTTTTTTGATTCCTCCAAC